GTCATGGGACACAGCCAGCTAAAGGGCACACAGCCTGCATTATGACAATAACTAGAAGCTGATAATTTCTTGCATAGCATGGCTACTGCATTAATGTATTTCCTGAATGGCTATGGATATTTCCTATTCAAAGAGGCCAGGTTCCAAAAAGCTCCCTGTAAATATATTTCTCCTGCTGCCAAAAACAGAGAGACAAAGAAATTCCTGTCTCCTGCCTCTACTTGCTTAAATTTAATTAGTACCAAAATTTCTTCCTGTACTAAGGAAATGGCTTCTTCTTCTCCAGGTCACTCCAGCACAGCAGACACTACTATAAAAACAAATTCCCAGTAAAATGCTGTAATATAGAGAGAACTCCTTAAGACTGGTAACTGGTATATGATAATTGGTCAAGCTCTTTGGATCCATATTACCAGGTACTGTATGTACCAGCTATGGCTAAAACTCATGTAAGACTCCAGATTTCCTGTAACCACTCAGTCACACTGGTTGTTTATGCTGCTAAAGACAGTGAACACCTTCCTGACACAGCTGTGGTGTATCCAGAGAAGGATGAGATGTGTCTGGGCAGCCCCTTCTGGGGGTCCTCCTAAGCCTCAGCCTCCCCATTTCAGAGTGAACCCTAGCACTCCCTGCCCAAGGTATGAGCCACGTTTGTTTTCATCTTCCCCTCTCTGCCAAGCTCACATGGACGTGTGTGTGCTTGTGTAATTGCGTATTTTTCGGTGTGCATGCATAAGAAAAGCAGTCTCCAGTGCACATGGGTCTTTCCGGAGGGAGATGATGAGCAAATGCATTATGAGACAGATGTTAGTTATGCTGCTTATTAAACCACGGCATGGTGGTGTTCAAAAACTGAAGCGGTAAGAGTGGCAGGACTGAGTAGAAGAGGGAAAATTATTTTCAGGTGTCTGTTTCTAATAACAAGGTTTTCAGAGGGGGTGAGCACACAGAACCTCTTTGATTTCATTAGGAATATAATGTTCCATTCCCATTGCTCATTTGGAAAACTCTGGGATAACTGAGGGTAGCTCTACCTCAAGTGATACCTTCCCATGCAATGCAGTTGTTCCAATCAGGTGCCCCTTGAACTCTTCAAAACCTCCCAGTGAACACTAGTGCCTTCTTAATATTATTTTTATCTTGCCACTAAAACTAGTTGCCAGAAAATCAGTCAATAATATAAACTCCAGTTAACTTGGTTTAATATGAGATTTATGCCCATTCCCTCTGCTTTCTAATCCATAAATCATTGGGACATTTAACTGCTGTTATTTATGGCTTTTGAATATACAGCTGAGGGCATTGGTGTTCCAGGGAAGGTTTTGCAACCTGTGATAGCAATGCCTGCCTGTTCTAAAGAGCCATCGTGCCATAGCCCTACAGAATTTGTCAGATGTTTTACATTTTTACAATCTGATGGCATGCTATAAACCGTGTCTTTGGTGGGGGAGGGTTTGCGTGCTGTTTGATGTATGTGCCAGCTCGTGGCCTGCTGCTCCCTAAAGCAAAGGCTTGTTTGCATAAAACATGCATCAAAAGGAGGTTTTCTTACGTGGTAGCACGCTCAGATGCCTGCTGGAGAAAGGGAACTCACCATGATGGTGGTTGAAAACCTATGTATGTATCTTTTGATTGTGTCTGTATGCTCCATCTGATCAAACTGATACAGAAAAGAACCCAAAATTTATCAAAGTAAATGATTTAGAAAGAAAAGAGAAAACAACAACCCCAGCCATGGCTTATGTTCTATTCCCCAGACATTTCTTCAGTGACCATCTTAACTAGTCCCTCATTAGCACAGAAAAAATTGCTAGACTTTAATCACAAAGACTTCCTAAGTAGATTAAAGGCCAATTTTCACTGTCCATTTAACTTATCTTTAAAGCTCTGTATTGTATTTCTCTTCTTAATCTGAGCTGAGTTTTTGCACACAAATGCTGCTTAAAAACAGCAGAGCAAATACTGTGTGGTGACTATTTCCAAAGACCAGGTTTGCAGCAGTCTGTGGTTAAAAGTTGTGTGATGCTGATATGGGATAAAAGACAATACTAAGAGGGCTGGGAAAGTCTATTTTGTCTAAAGACCCTTTCCTCCACCCTTTTGTGGAAAAGGCCACTTCATAGACCTTGCAAAGTGTCTGTTATTAGGGGTCTGGTGTTATTCCTGAATATACACATATGCATTGCTAGATATAAAATGATAAGAGGCTTTCTGTTTTACAGATAGACAGACATAAATCGATACTTTTTTCCCATCTTTCTTTAGGAGGCTGTTTTCAAGACATATATTTAATTGTGCTATCTTCTGTGACTACATCAGCTGTTGGTCTTTAGCTGATGTACTTTTAGAAAGATTTAATGCCCAATGTGCTGCCTGATGTGTTTTACTTTTGCGTAGTAGCTGCGGAGGTGCTGCCTCTAGGCAGCTGCAAATGAACCTTCTGCATGTGATACATTATTTTCTGTTTAAATGATTGTTTCTAGGCTGTGATTACTGTGTCTGCACTGCAATATGCACCAAGCCTAATCAGTTCATCAGCATTGTCTGCTACCCTGACAAGAGACTAAAACCATTGCAGGCCTGACCTAATAGATGCCAAGGTTTAAACATGTCCTACTGCTTCTTCAGATTGACTGTTTCTGCTGCAAGATTGATGGAGGCTTCATAGAAAATGTGTGTGGATTTTTAAACTAGGTTTTACTGAGTGACCTGACTCCCACGGAAAGAAGCATTTCCACATATCCAAAGCTTTCTAGTATGTAGGTCACAATCAATTTAGTTAACTTGCTAAGTGGCTCAAATGATAATTTAATTTCGGTGTAGGGTGGTGTGTTTTCTTTTTTCCATTCAGGTCAGAAGTGGCCTCAGGTAACAGTGGTCTAGTTCCTCACTCCATTCTCCATCCTGGCTCCACTGGTGTTTGAGTTGCCTCTGCCTAACCTGAAGAACCAGCACCAGAAGAATATTCTGTGCTTGTGCTGGGATGATTTCAGGGTAGCTAAGTCCTCTTGGAGAAACCAGAAACCCTGGTAGTGGGACTAGCTAAATAAACCAGTTCTGGTTCTGGGAGCTGGCAGGGGCTAAGTGGTGCTTGTGAGGGGGTCCATAGCAAGTGGAGGTTCTCTCAGTACTTCATGGAAGATTGATGTTGGTCAGAGGGGCTGCTGGTCACCTTAACCAGGCCTGCTCACCAAGAGTTCAGGCAGACTCTTCTAAGTGGGGAAATTCTAAGAGCTAAATTATTTAGCTCTGTGCTAGGAAGATGCACTAATTATTTGCTGAATAAAAATAACCCACATACCTGAGGAGGTGTTATCCCATAGTGCTGCACTTTCTGAATAATTTTACTTCTGTTCTTGATGTGAAAAATGTTGCATAATTCAGGGAATAGTGTCCCACCATATCTCCTCCACTGAGTGTCACTGTGTTCTTCAGGACTCATGGCTTGGCAAGTCAGTCTGTCCTGCTGAAGACTCCGGGGCTTTTTGAGAAAAGCACAGCACAGTGCAGCTCATCAGATGGAGTTTCCCTGTCACTCAAATGTGGACTGCTGCTGAGAGATGCTGTCAGTGTTATAGACAGGCAACATTTGCCCCTTTGTGTGTCCTCCCATGAAAGTGACACCACTCAAGGTTTGCTGAAGCCAAGGCACAGGTCCGGGGCTGCTCTCCAGAAAATCAGAATGAGACTCATTGTTTACCAAACACAGTTCAGGGTGTTGGTTTCCAGGGCTCTGTCTTTCTCAACTTCTTATTGCTGTTTTCCTTCCAACTATTTAATGGTCCGATTGCTCAAAAAAAAAAAAAAAAATCTTTTGTTCGAGTATACATCAGAACCTACTTGTAATACATCTAAGATGCCTGTGCAACATATTTAACTTACATTTTTATGTGTACATTATGAAACAGAGGTGTTCTTTGTCAGAAGCACCACAGACTAAGAGGAACACAGATAATTTGTGAAGCCAGGGCTTTGTTTTTTGTTTGAAATGTGATTTCCATGACAAACCACAGCGACATTGTAGTAAGAAAACTCCCTCTCAAAAGTCTTTGGTTTTGTCATGGAAATTGCTGTGACAAAATCATGGTCTTTATTGTTCTTCCTCTCATTCATATATGCAAAGTGGATTTTTTTTCAGTCCTGACAATGCAGAGTGCAGAAAATGCAATGAGGAACAACACAATCCATGTCTTCTCCCAGAAAACATCAGGAATTGAGGCTGTATTTTAAAGAAAAACACACTGAAGCTGCAATCAAAGATTTGTGATAAAAGTTCTCCCAATGTCTTAAGTTGTTTAATTCTCTTCCCTGAGCAGAAAATCGATGAGATTTATGTTCTAAATTGCTAAGCACTTAATATTGCAATTCTTAATAGCTAAAATGTAGGGACTGCTCATCTCATATTTTAAAGGGGTAATTTTTTCAACCCCAGAATGATGCCCTATTCCATTATGGCAGGGCTTCATATTTTTGAACCAGGTGGGTTCCAACCAGCTCAGTGAGAAAGAGGTATCTGCTGCGCAAAGCCTGTGGGATGAGCCTATCCATTTGCACTCAGCTCTCTCCTCTGCAGGCTAATCCAGACAGATCACAGTGGGAGACAGGAGCAGGAGGAGGATTAGGAGAGTACCTGAGTCCATGGCATTTTTGTGTGTAAACGTATTCTAAAGTCTTACTGTAGAAATTATAAAATATAATTAAGGTATACAAAAAACCCCAAACCCCAAACAAACCACCTAGAGTTTTAAAAGGACAAACCAAAATTTGCTATCTGCTGTTGCTGAGATTTAATAAGATTCACATTTCATGGCCTAACAGCACTCTTCCCTTTCAGTGCAGTATCTGCTTACATTGCTCAGCCAGGCTTGTTCCCATCTAGAGAATCACATAAAACTCAATATCCAAACCACCTTCTTTCTTCTCCTCATTGAGATATCCATCTACTTGCAGCTGCCAAGTACACTGATTTTTCTTTTTCTATGACCTTCTCTCCTCAGATCTCAGACTACCACCCTGGGCTCCCTGGCCCTGTCCCCAGAAGGGGAACATTCTGCCACCCACCTCTTGACCTCCTGCAGCTCTAACCTGCAAGTGATGGCTGTCAAATCAGGGACTTGGCTGCCAAACCAGGAACTTCTGAGGAGCTACTTTGGGCCTGTGCAGCCCCAGCCCCATCTTTGCCTCCAAACACTGCTCAATATGGAGCATCACCTTTCTTCAGGCCATCTTCAGGATGAGAGTCTGCACTGCCTTTGCTGAGCAGCCCACTGATCCCTCCCTCAATGGTGAAATCCTGCCCAAATCACCAAGTGCTCTCAGGATTTCTCATGTGTTTTTTCAGAGGATGACAACACTGGCCTCCAGAAAGTGTTGGCATGCCAAAAAAAGAAGATTGAATAATGACAACAGTCCTAAATCTGCTCTGATAGGGAATAAAAAGTGATTTTCAGCAACAGGTGCTAGTCTTTTATTCTAGAGACATCTATAGCAAAGCAGTAACATCTCTCACCCAAACCTGATGGCACAATGCCTCATATTCCCACAAGATGAATAAGGGGATGATAACAGGGAAGGGAAGCAGACTTTGCTCAAAGCTATTAAGCCTCTCTGTGAAGCAGGCTGGGCTGTGTGGAGACTGAACACATTAGCTGTCATTTTGTATGAAAATTATATGTACTCAGCAGCTTAATAATACGCCAGCAGGTTACAATGATTTACATATAACAAAGTAAAAACTGGGGAACAGGGAGTGAGCAAGAAATGGGATACCTCCAAAGAGACCATGGAGGAGCTTGGTGGTTCAGATACTCAGGAAAGGAAGGGATGAGGGGAAAATGTATACTATGGGGTAATGTATGGTCATGGAGATTCCCTCTGTGCAAAGGAGGATGTGAAGGGAAAAGGGTAATGGGGAAGGATGGTCCAAGATTCGTCATTTTCCAGGCACTGAGGCACAACACAGGTGAGGTGTTGCCAGGTTGTCCTATTTTGGGTATTTCCTTGTGAACTTGGGTTGGTGAGTTAAGAGGCTGTACACCATTGCCACTGGTATTTATCCACTGCTATTGTCTCCCTGGTGTGCAAAGCAGAGGGCAGCGTGCCGTGAGCAGGTGACTGTGAAGAGGCAGGAAGTAAAGTGGGAGAAAGGGGGGACTTCTCCTCCTCATGGTACCCACACAGACACAGCAGTGTTGTGACATGAGGGATCCCCATCACCCCGGGGTGCCGCAGCCACCTCGAAAGCTGTCTGGACTGGGAGGCATGCCACAGGTCACAGTCCTGCTCCTGATCCACTCTGTATTGCAGCAGCAGGCGATATCCCAAGGCCACTGTCTCTGGCACCACAACCCCCTGGGTGAAATCCAGCTATTTCAGCCCTACCAAAAAAAGCTGCGACACATGTATTCACATCCCCTTACACTAACTCGTGTGCTAATCTGTAAGGCTTTTCCTGCCCTGATTATTCATGAGGCAATAATTCAGATACCCCATAGACACTGAGCTGCAGACTTTCTAAAAAGGCTTTTTATTTTCTCTCAGAAGATTGTAAAAGGGCTTCAGATGGACTACAGACTTGTCATTTGTTTTATGATTTATGTAAGCAATTATGGAGCATGATGGAATAATGTGAAGGTGGGTAGGAATGTCCCAAACCCACCAGCAGCTATACTGGAAGAGAAAAGCCCTGTTTCCAAAGAGTCAGTAGAAACATGGGATATTTGTTGATGCCACTGTATTCACTAATTAGACTAGAAAGAAGATTATGTTTAATTAATGTCATTCTTTATAAGATTGCTCACAGAATCTCCATTTGTGCTTAACCTTCTCCTTCTTGCTATTGCTTGCTCTCTCACTTTTGTTTCAGTGATTCCTGCTGTTTCAGAAGCACTTTACCTGTCAAGCCACAGACAGCTGCTTATCCTCATGGATCTTCAGGATGGCCAGCAGCTACTTCTGCAAACTGGGGCATCCTTGACTTGGAAGGCAAATACCATCCTTTGGCATCAAAGTAACAGATTAGTGCCCTGAATTTTCTAGTGCATAATTAACAAAAAAATTACAGCTGTCAGAAGAAACAGATTTTTACTTGTTGGTTGTCAACATTGCTCATTCATTTGCAACTTTCAATTGCTTCAAGAAGGACAAATAGCTTTCAAGAAAGCAGTAAACTTCCCCTTATCCCTGCAAAGCTACTTTGAAAACAAACAAGGATTTTTCAGTTGTGGCTTAGTCTTCTCCAATAATCGTTGTGACTCTTGCGGTTCACCTCCAAAACACTTTTTGCATGTACTCCTCCTTCCACTCCCAAACCAAAATTAGTGCAACAATTCAGCAATGTATTGCAAGAGGAAGATTTTCAAGCAAACAGGGTGGCCACCACAGACAATTTTGGGCATTCAGACTTGGGGATTACACTTAACTCATGAAAAAGGCTACAGTGAGGCTTTGAGACAGCTGGGAAGGCAGCTATCACTAACATGGCTATTGCTGCTCCTCACTGGCACTGGACACCCCTTGCTGTGACTGTGACTGTGTCACCAGAGAGCCATCAGAGAGCAGCACTGTTCAGTCACTGCCCATTTGGTAAGTGGCCGTTTTTGTAATGATGACCCACAGGTGGACATTTTGACCCCAGGTCAATAGCCACAGCCCTACCTGATATGGGAGTAATCAGAACTAAATTGGCTGCGATTTGGGAGACAGAGAGTTTGTTCTTATCCAACAGCTGAATTAAACTTCCTAGAAAGCTGGCTGTGACACAGCAGGACAGGATGTGAAGAGCTTATTTCTTGACAGAGCTAACCAGGAAGGATTCTAGGGAGCCCAGATGGTGCTCTTCAACAAATGAGCCTCAGAAAACCTCAGCTAAGGAAACAGAATGGGAATGAGCCAGTTCAGCAATGGGATAACTAGTCAGAGCAGTTCTGGGGCTCCAGAGAAAGCATGTGGCCAAACAGATGGTCTTAGGCAAAGTAGCTTGAGAGGTTTCCACCTCTCAGAAGCGTGAATTCTTGGCTGCATTTACTTCTCATTGTTAGCCTTCAGTTTTACAAAAGCCCTGTTTATTGGTCTCTGTGTGTAATGCAGATGGTATATAAGCTCAGATGAATACTGGACATGTCATATTTCTGGTGTTCCATTTAGCTGGCTGGTTTTCACTCCCATGAGTGAGAAAACAACAAGCCATAGGGCCTCAGAGAAACTGAGAAGATGGGTCCTACAATCCGTGTGAGTAGATATCTTGTGGAGTTCAGGGAGGGAATTTCGAAACCTTCCCATGGCCTGATCCAGTGTTCACAGGAGTCCGTGGAGCACAGCGTAATATTTGGTTTTGCTGTGATTTATTTCATATAAGGAAGATTTTTTTTCTTCCCTTATGAATAAAGGAGGAGCTCAGGGGCTTTTATGTCCCCCAGTTAAATGAACCTGGGAACTACCATAATAAAAAAAACATTATGAAGCACTCGAGCAGCTTGTAAATACTGAGGGTTTTATTTCCACTTCACATGGTCTCAAACAGACTCTTAAACAAGACCAGTTACAATTTAGTATGCCCAGAGATTTCCATGGTTTTTCCAAAACGAAGGAAGTTCTCAGTAAACGCTGTACATAGCCAGTTGAACTGCTAACAATAATTTAAAAACTCTTTTTTGTATAGTCAATGCAAGAATACCAACAATAAAAGTACAGTACAGGTAAATTCACAACAATATTACAGTGAAACAGATTGACCCACATTTATGTGATGGTACAGTAGCAATATGTACATGCACTAAAGTGCGAGGACCCAGAGGCATGCAAGTCAAGTATTGTAGGTGTATTTTACAGCTAACTCTGTAAGACTTTCTGAGGCATTCTTTTCTTTTTTTTTTTTTTTTACACATTTACTTGTGTTTACCTGTATTCCCCTCCATCTCAATTAATTACAAGTCTAGTGAACGAGCTTAATGGCTTTCTTCACTGCTTAAAAGGTATCGCTTCAGACAGTTGAAGCATCTTTAAGAACCTTACCTTTAAAAACTGATAACACTGACATTAAAATAGAATAAAATTAACTTAAGACCCTAGTTTTACATGAAATTAAAAAAAAATACCAACCCAAAATACCCAAAACCAAAACTGAAAACGTAACAGTGCAAATATAACCAAAAGGCAGTCAGTATTTGGAGAGAGCGCGAGCACGTATTCAAATTCCCTTAAAACTTAATTTACATTTTATTTTAAATCTTACTTTATATCATTTTAACCCCTTTTTTTTGTTGTTTTTGTTAATATACTGTATGTAGAAAAGATGGAGACAAAAATAGTTTTCTCAGCTATGAAAAAAATTAAGTTATTACAGGCACATTAACTGTTTCATTCCAGAAACACCTCTGTTTCCCAGGTTGCACATTCAGCAGCTGTGTCTGAGAACATTCTTTGACCTCTCCAAGCGGACCTCCCTCCTTCGTGGCAGAGACGGCTGGCGGGCGACCTGGCGGAGGCGAGCGGTGGCCCGCCCTGTTCCTGTGCGGATTCAGGCCGGCTCGCCTCCCTGGCTGGGGGTCTCTGCCAGCAGCTCCTTGCTTCCGCACTCCTCTGAGGAAGTCAGGTCTCCGGTGGACTGCGACTGTGAGGCAGTAGGGGAATGTGAGGCCCATCGTGACGGTGGGCGCCGGTTCGCTGGTCTCTCTGGCCGGGAGAAGCAGGGTTGGAGGGACGGGGCTAGTGCAGAACAAGGCAGTTCCTTGGCAGCCAAGAGAGCAAAACAGCGGTTAGTGACTTGCGTTAGAGACCGTCGGGGTGCGCGAAGAATTAAGAAACAAAACCGCCAAACTAAAGCTAGGGGTGTGTCAAAAGCAAGCAGCGAACACCCGGCTGCGTGAGGGCTCCAGGTATCTGCATGTGTGTCCATGATTTATGGAACAGGTAAGGAGACAATGAAAGAAAGAGGGTGAGCTGGAGTAGCTGACACACTTTCAACTGCTATTTTTCCTTGTGCTAGAAAGAGAAGAGCTGAAAAGTATATTTGCATAATAATTCAGGAAAATCCACTGTTTAACACTTAGTACTCTAAGTGCTGACCTGGCAAAAAAGGCTAGGTTTGGCATTTGCAAGACAGGTGAAAAATCAACCACTGTCTCCTTTTTTTCTCCTTCAGAATTCAGACTTGACATGCAGGAGACTTCTTAGCACAGAATAATGACTACAGGGGTAGTTATGATCTCCAGCTGGATTTAAGATGAGGCTTACCTACAGATTTCATTTTCTGGAACACCACTGCTAACTGCCAGCTGCTGAAGCCTGAATTACAGGACTCAGAGGTACTCTATGCTAAAGGCAACATTCACAGAAACGGAAAAAATTGGAAATTTTATTCCTTCACCAAGTTTCCACTGTTCTGGCTTGGTTAGTTTGCCTTTGCAATTAGAAACAATCTGCAGTTGTGATTTTTCACCCTGGCACTAAGTTGGTAATGCCTCTAATATTCATGGACTTTGCTCAAAGTACAGTTGCGCTTCCTGCCTTGCTCTGAATGCTCACTACATTAAGACGAGTGACTGTAGAAGCCAGTCTGTCTCATAGGGCCAAAGCCAAACTTCTGAATTTCACTAAATACTTTGAAATTTATAAAAGCAAATCAGAGCAGTTTGCCAACATCTAGCAATGTGTACACCAAGCAGCAGTCACTGGAATGTACAGGGGAATTAAAAAAAAAACCCAAGTCAGAATGCAAATCGGTGATAAATGAAGAGAGAGACCAGAAATGATACAATGCAAAGGAAAAGCTGGGCACAGTAAGACGCAGGGATACGAAGGCAGCAGGGAGGCCAGGATTCAGCACACTGTTTCTCATGGAGAAGGAGAATAGTCTCTAAAGGTGGAGAATACTGGAGCAGGTAACATGATGTGATTGACAGTGAACAAACAAAGTGATACGGCACTGAACTTCTCAATTGCAGTGGAAGACCAAACATGAATGTTCATAGGACAGGACCAATTTTGAAGACACAGAGCTGAGGTATGAGAAATGGAGCTGGTGACACATGTTTTGGAGAGAGTGCGTTGTTGGACTCGGGGAGGCCTCGGTGAAGGGTCAGTCCAGGTTTTTTGGGCAGCATGCAGCCAGTGGGGTGATCTAGAGCTGCACACCAGTGCTTGAGAAAGAGCTATGGCCAGCTGCCCTCGGCACTCGCAGAGCACCTCGGCCTGCACGCCCTCCTCTCTGCATCCTCACTCCCCACCCCATCTCTGTGCCATTAACTTCACAACCCTTGCTAAAACAGCAGTAAGGCTTAAATGGAAATTGGTGCTAATAAAAAAAGATTGACTGTGTGTCCTTACTTCACCTTATCCCATTGTGCCGGGGGCAGCATATGGTCTGTGAAAGCTGCCACTAGACTCAGATTTGTTAAGAGAAATCCATCTGCGCAGCAACAGTCATGGGCAGCACAACACAGTGAATTGAGGCTATGAGATTTGCGGGTTTTGTCTTAGCCTCTTTCAAAAAGGAGGCTTAAAATGATATCTTTATAGTGCTGCTTGCTCCTGGCTGCTTTATCCTAGTTTCAGAGCAGTAAATCAGAGTTAGCACAGCAATAAAAAAATTTATTTCCACTGCTGCCTCCCCGTTCAAAAGCCTCTCTCCAGCATGCCTGCAGATGTTGGTCAGCTTTTACCAAACAGAAAGGTTAAGCTCATCTTATCTGTGATGTACACATGCCCGGCAGCACACAAGGCTGTGCTGGTGATGGATGCTGCTCCAGGGCCAAAAGTGACTGGCAGCATAATATAAAGTGCTGGCTGCTGAGTCAGTCACCCCCACCTGCAGCGTGGAAATCCAGCCATGACAAGGAAACTCTGCAGAATGGTTTGTGAAAAACCCTCCTCCCTTACTACATGTAGCTGTCATAGCTAGAAATGTTTTTTTTTTTGTTGTTTTTTTTTTTAATAAATAACCTGTGGGCAATTTAGTTTGGTAGTTGCTCAGGGCTGTAGGTGGATTGGCAGCATTTCTTAGCCTGAGCACTGAAAATGGGAAAGATGATTTCAGCTCCAGTTTCTAGCTATTTCCTAAAACAGGCTGTCAGCCACCATGGCTATGTCTATATTAATAAATAAAGAAAACAATTTTCTCTTCTCTCTGAGGCAGAATGGATGGTCATAGCTTATGTCTGCACAGTGTCTTCCCTTGACTATGGCAACCACAGCCCCTGGACAGAACTGGGCCCAGGGCCCAGAACTGCTTAATGAGCAAAGGTGACTTTAACCTTTAGCTCCAGGCTGGTGCTGAAGCCCCTTCCCAGCCCTCTCCACCTGCTGCTGTAGCCAGAACTGGAGGAAAGACATTCTGGGGCAGCCAGAAGCCCTGCGCAGTGCTGTGCATTTGTCAAAAAAAAAAAAAAAAAAAAAAAAAAAAAAAGTGTGTCGCAAATCTGAATCCCTCCCCAGCATTTTTGCATACCTTTGTGTCGGGCTTAAATTTTGCCAATTTTTAAAAGCTTAGCAAAAAACCCCAACAGTACACATTTTGACTTAAGTGTGACGTCTTCCCAGCCTGTGCTGCTGCAGGACACAGCAGATGAGCTCCTGTCCTGATCTCTTCCTGACTGCCCCATACAAAGAACCCCACAGGGATGTCAGGTGCGTGCCTCTGGATACCTCTGGAGCTGTGGTCATTTATTTCCCTCTGTTAACCCACGTGTTCAAGAATGACCGCTTTCGGAAACCTCTGGAAACAAGGTAGAAAGGACTTACAGCAGTGAGGCAGGCAGGGTTAGAGTCCCCAGGGGGTAGTTAATAAGACAGTTTGGTTCTGGACAGAACAGACAGAAAAGAAAAAGAAAGCAAGTAGGTTGGAAAGAACTGTTTTAATTGATTATTTTTTTAAAGTGAAGAATTCATGTCAGCAAGGAAGAAGTCTCCCGATGTTACTACTCATTCAGATCATGTTACCAGTGTTATCACAGGGAAACTAATAATCAAAAATAAAAGCCAAGCCACTAGAAGAAAAAGACTTAGAAAGAAAGGAAGCAAACAAACCAACCTTTTATAATCCTAGCACAGTTTCAGAAGTGGACATAGCAATAAACAAACCAAACATTTCTACTCAGCAGAGAAAGATATCTGTTTTTCTTTGCCAACCTTGATTTGGGCTAGGGAAAAACCACATTACTATGAGAGGAATAAAGCTGTATTTTTTCCCCCTTCATTTGATTTCAAGAGAGAGTTTCTGCTTAGGAAATATTTAACAAGCAAGAAAATGGCTGTTATTTTTTGTTGCTTACACTTCTATTGCTCAGGTTTCATGACAACTCTTTGCCTCACCTTTCTCTGTTGTTTCTCTTCAGCAGTGATGCTGGATGGGAAACTCAAACTTAACCAAAAGCCCTTTAATTCTGTCAACACCTTTCCTGATTTTCAACATTCCCCCTCCCGTGCTGAATGGTTCAGTGACAAGCCTGTGGCAATCACTTTGCCCTGGGGTGCAGAACCTGCTCTCTCATCTGTGGGTCTGTGTGGATGGTCCTTTCACAGTGTTGTCTCCAGAAATGAGTCTGACTCTCAGTCCAGGACTGTTGTGTAACCTCCACGATCTACACCCTCGCTAGTCACAAAATCAAAATGTTCCTAAAGCTCTTATGTTGTTAGTTAGGTGATGCTAATGTGCATTTTTAATAGTAAAATGTACAAATCCTATGAAACACACCTAAGATAGGGGTTTAGTGAATTAGCAGGATAAGACACTAGTAGGCCACACTATGTGAATATGAATTTGCCTGTAAGCAGCTCTGGGCAGGTCAGAAAACACAAAGTCATTGCTGCTGTGTATGCATGTACACTGACATGCACATGCACTTGCACATAAATAAATAAATACATGAACTAGATTTCATATTTGCAGCAGGAATATAGAAGGAAATAATGTAACTAAACAACTCAGAAGCTCAAATTGAGGAAAAATTAACAACAGGTGCTGCATGCAGGTTTAAAAGTCATTAATATGCCATGGCTGCAGAACCCAGAAGGCGTTTGGTGGTAAGAAGGGCACTTGTCTTGGCCAGAAACCCACAGGTCAGAGGGAAGCAGAGCAGGGGTCTACTGGAGGGTGGAAGCATTGTGTCAGCACTGCCCCAAGCACAAACCTGCCTCCTTCAAGATCATAATTCCCTGAACAGCTGTGTCTGGCTTTGTACAAAATGTGCTAAGAGAACTTGTACAAAGTGTAATTTGTGTGGTCAGGGTAATCCACAAATAACCCAAGGCACCTGCAGAGTCTAAACTTATTTGTGGGTGTTTTTTTCAGCAGTAAACCCACACTTCCCTTGAGTACATCTTCCAGAGCACCACCTCAGTTAGGAAAAGCTAAGCTCGTTGTGTGAATGCCCACCAGTTTCCTTTTCAATCCACATTCCTGAGAAATGCCAGGAGCAGCCAAAGAACAAAACCTGTGCATCTAGACTACAGTCATAACAGTCATGCAGGAGGTTCAAGGAGAAACAAGTCTTAGCTCTAAGGCTCATAATTCAAAAATTTAGGCAAAAGATACTGAGAATTCACAAAAAGGAGCAATTTTCTGCCAGTTTGATGGTCAATGGGTTTCTGTTAAATAGCATTGACCCAAATCTCTCTGTGCACCAAACTCAGGTACTGTTACTAGTTTGTGTTTTGCCAACAGCAATTTGTGATGATGTGGGATGACATCCGTCTACCTATATTTGAAACCTATTGAGGCAGTTAAAAGTTACAGGAGGAAATCAAGAGTTTCCAGGGTTACCTTGAAGGCAAAGCTGAGTTGAACTAGTTAGAGTACAACACACTCCCTAATACACACCAGTAGTGTATTCCCTGTATTTCAAACTAAGGACAAAATACAGAAATAGCTGAAAAAAGTCAAATTAATGAGGCTGCTTCCCACCTTTATTCACTCTGAGGTTTGTGCACAAAGACCACTTTCACTCACTATATTTATAATGTGCATGTGGTTTCTTTTATTTTCCTTTTTTAATTGAAAAATTTCCCTGGTTATATCTGTTTAAACTGCACATAGGGAATAAATCCTTAGGTTTGGATTGTCTGTTAGGAAAAAAAGATCATATCCTCTGAGCAATACCTACAAAAAAGAAACTGACTGTATATTGAGAACCACCCACTAGGGCAAAGCGAAGTGCAGACCAAAGGTTTCAGCACTCAGGTCTTTCATGCCAAATGTTGAGTTAGAAAACAGGGTTTAACCTTCCCTTTTGAGGTATCTGAGGCAGGGGTAGTAGGAGTCTGCCCAGTGAAGGCGAGGTGGATATATGGGATGTGCAGGGGTGTATGGAGTGTGCAGGGGTCATGGAGCTGCTTCCCTGGAGCCAGGGCTCACCACAAGACTAGGATGCTAAAGGGGCAGCAGAGGGGATGAGGAACGCTCAACTCTGCCCTGGGGACTGTCACCAGCCAGCAGTTCACACCCCTTTTCATAGCTGCACCAGAAAGGCAACACATGCATGTAAGAGCTGGGCATAATTCAGCTTTTCTGGGCTTCTTAAGAGTGAGAGTCTCAAGTGCTCTCAAAGGTTCACCAGAAACAGGAGGTTTAAATACTGGTAACTGAAAGCTTTCATCCATCATTACACCTTCTTTTTTTGTTGATTGCTGTTGCACCTGAGACTGGCCCCCAACATCTGGGCACACTTGCTGAGACAGATGATGACTTGACGAAATATCAGCAAGGAGTTCTTAAACACAAAATAGGTATGTGTCTAGATTAGTTGATTATATGTGTGTTTTTTGCTTTTTGTTATTTTTGTGAGGCAGCAGCAGTCAGTACCAAACATCACGCCATTCAATCACATTCACAGACCTGAGCCAAACTTAATCAGATACATTCAGAAAAGATATGCTGAAGGCCCTGGAGTTTTGCTCCAGGGTACTTTAGAGACTATTTTTCACACAAACTTGTTAAAACCCATTCTTGTGTAGGAGAAAGAATCTGCCTTTCCATCCAGCATAAAAATTTATTCAGACCTAGTGTCCCTAGAGCACCTGTAACATGTTGTGTATTCTGTGACAGAAAACCCTTATCCCAGCCGTTCAGGGAAGAACCATTTTTTATCCCATAAAGGATAAAACTCTTCAGATGCTTTCAAGCCAAATAAGCTGCCAGGATAGAAATTCAATTCTTTCATGCATTCTTCAGTGACTAATCCAAAGTTTCATGCCTGGAAATTGCTGGTGGTACCAGGACAGGACTAGGATATTCACTGTAAATACTCAGTAGGACTGCAAGAGATCTCATAATACATTTGCTCAAAGAAGAGTGCACTTAGCTATAGGAGGAAAAACAAGCAAATTCATTACCTCTATGGACCCTGGATCTACTTTGACAATTTCTCCTGTGCTGTTGTCATTGCTAAGATTTGGTGGGCTGTGTGAAGGTAGCCTTCTCTCTTCCTTTAAGGCATGCTCCAAAAGTTTCTTATTCAAGATCCTGGCAGCATTTTCTGCAAGTGTGTACCCTGGAGGAGCAGATAAGTCCTGCCTGATACTTGTCACCTCAGATCCTTCTTCCTTTTGTGTCTCTGTCCCCAGACGGAGAGGACTGGGTGATCTGCCACGGGCATTTGTACATGGCTCCTGCAACGTGCCCAGTTCCGGTCTGGGTTCTGCTGACCTGGACCGGCTGCCAGATCTGGGGCATTTTTGGAAGGTCTCATGAAAGATGGGGCTATGGTCAATGATGTTGAACAAACTGGACAGGCCATCGTTGATAGTGGTGTGGACAGGACTCTCCCGTGTGGTAGTTGATCGAGCCCAAGCGGACTCACTGAATCCTTTCTGAGGTGTGCCAGGCAAGGTCCGGTTATTTGGCTGGTCAGGTTTGGGAAGGGCTTTTCTTTGCAGCTTTGGAGAGCCGTATTTGGGGGAGCAGCATGTGCGTTCAAACTTAGCCTGGACCTTTTCAATGACGGGGGTCACCTGCCTGCTTCTGAGGCTTCTGGATGGTGAAGAGACAGGCGTGGACCCCCCCTTTGGTGTCAGACACTTGTGTGGACTGCTGGTGATACTGCGCAGCGTTTCCGTCTGCAAGCCGACGCTGATGGTCTGGGTGGTCTGTGTCCCTGTCGTTCTCATGCCGTTGGTTTGGCACGCCGTGTCCTTGAACTGAGGCTCCGTGGAGTTGGAGCGTATTGTTTTCCGGACAGAGAAAGCGACCTCCTTCATGTCATCACTCATGTTCTTGGACATCTCCAAGCTGTGCAAGGGTGAGGCAAAGCCCACAGTAGTGCAAATAGGACGTTCAATGGGATGAAGACCGTTCTCCAGAAAATCCTTATGGTGTTTGGCCAGGTCACAAGACCACCTTCCAAACATGTCCGAGGAAGCACCTTTTGTCTCAGTGACGTTCCCCATAGCTTTGGTCACAGAAAACAGGAAGTCTGGCTCAGCCTGGTTTTTCCCTTCACTGCCAGCTATCACTGGGTTATCGAACCTACGGACAACTGGTGGGCTGTGAAATACCCGCACTCCCATTTTGTCAGCAACACTGTGACTCCTCGTTGGCTGCTTCTGGCAGTGCTCTGGGCTGGTCATGGTGTTGGTGGTCATAGTGACACTGGTGGTGAGGTACCATGAGGATGCCTGGAATGGATCTGAAGCAGGATCACTGCCAGCTTTTCCAATTTCTGTCCTTTCTGCCCAACCCTCTGCAGGCTTCTCAGTTGCCCCACCATGGGTCCTAGTGTTACTGTAATCCCAGTTTTTGTTGAACTCCTCAATGTATTTCAGGTCATCAGGAGACAAGGGAGGTGTTATATCATCTTTGCTGCCAGATGAAGGCAAATTTTTTTCTGGTAGAAATGGAGAAATATCCATCAGGCGCTGAAATTCGGACATGGAAGAAACGGACATTGCCCTGGAGAGAGGAACACAAGAGAGTCGCTCATGTGCCTGGAAATTGTTGCAGAGTAACTTATTTTCACCAGCAAATTCTGGAAACCCAACAATCACCATCTGCTTACATATAAAACCACTTCAATAATTGAATTGTGGACTGTCCTGACTTGGAAGGGACCCACAAGGATCATTCAAGTCTTGCTCCTGCACAGGATACCCCAAAAATGACACCATGTGCCTGAGAGGATTGTCCAAACACTTTCTGAACTCTGACAGGCTTGATACCATGACCACTTCTCTGGGGAGCCTGTGCCCAAGTACCCTCTGTGTGAAAAACCTTTTTGTAATTTTCTACAAAGCCCTTTCTTTCATTTAAGTCCCCTTTTATTATCTTTGGAATAGCTGTGAACACAAACATCTGTGATGTGCCATTAAAAGAACCAAATGGTTCAGTAGAGGTTCTTAATTTACTGCTTTCTCATGGATTACTGCTAGGCAAATATTTGTAATGTGGAGCAGTAGGATGCATCTCAGAATTATACCATTCACAAGAAATTAGTGTTTGGCAACACAAGGCACCCTGTTCAAAACAAGTGTAGAGTATTTCTGACCTGCTGGGAAATCATCAAGTCCACCCTTACTCCTGAGACTGCCCAGGCTGCACAGCTGGTGTGCAGTGATGTGGGACATTCAGCAGAAATGCTGCTACATTGAACTGCTTGGTGAGTTGAGCTCATGCTGAAATTTAACCAAGGAAACTCTCTAAGTGATAATGCTGAATTCTTGGCTCTCCCACATTTCACTAATTTGTGAAAATCACACGCATTCAGATGAGTTATCGTACTGCTTTATTTTAAGAAAAAAAATATTTGACTGGGACTAAATAAAAAGATGAGTGTAGTTATCAGAGTTGGCTCAATGAGTTAACTCAAGCTGGATGAGAAGTCAGCAAAGAGTGGTTTTCATGGATCAGTGATCCAAAGAATACAGCCATGTCACACTGTGAGTTTTTAATCAAGAGCTCCTGCTGGAGTTTGGGTGTGTCTCTGTTAGGGATTCAGGTGTGTATGGTTTCTAAACGGATCTCCTAGTCACATGCTCTGGTTTGCATCAGGACGGCAATCTCAGAGAGCACAGGCTTTGTTCCTTTGGGATGAAAATGAGCTGGAAGATGCTCTCCAAAAGAACAACTAATGCATTCTAGGGTGAGGTGGGTATTCAACCCATGGGATAAGACCAGAACCAGTCCAAAGCAAAATATCCCTGACGTGCAGCAGCATATCAGGTCCTCAGCACCGAGTGTTTTCCTTTACATATGGATGTCTGCAGTGTGTACTGCACTGCTTGCTAAGGTAGGCGTAGATTTCACTGCAGCTTCATGTACTTTCATAGAGTTTGATCTTTGTGCATGACAGCTAAATGTGGCCTAAGTTAATCAGAGTAGAATTGAAGCATATTGAGACAAATTAATCCCTGGGTGAATCCATTAATCTGGCTTGCAGGCTGTTTAGGAGGAGGCATGGCTATGTCCTGGGCTTGTGGCTTGGATGCAGAGAGTCATACCTCCAGCAAGTGAGTATTTGCTGGGCTTTCGCCTCTAAGTTTTACTCACCTTTGAAGATTTCCTTTGTGTGTTTCTTCCTCCTGAATGAAAACAGAAACAAGCAGGATAAGTTATTTCTAAAGGTGTTGGTGGCATTAGCTTATGGGTATTTTGTCATTCACTTCCCATTAGTTGCACCAGTATCTAAAAAGTGTCTGATCTTCTCTCTGATATAGATTCTTAAAGTGTCAGTGGGAATATTCTTCACTTTGTACATAGGCAGGAGAGTGGGCAATCCCATCAGGATAACACACTGCACAGGTAAAGCCTGTATGCCAAATCTACAACAGCTTTGAACTTTTATATTCCCATGCAATCACAAATAGAAGTAGGCCAAAAAGGGCTTTTTTTTCCACAGTATTTTGTTTCAGACTATATATTTTTAGCAACTTTTTTCTGTAAAAGCAATCTACTTTATACTAGAGGCCTAGCTGTGCTGAAATAAAAGATAAACTGAGTTTCTTTGACATAATATTTCCTTATACATTTTCTAGGACCCAACAAGTGGCATCAGTTGAAATTCCTTAAGCTTCATATATTGTGTGGGAAGACTTGCTTGTTTCATAGATGGAATACCTACAGTTTGCTAACAGCATTAGGATGTTTTTATGGCAGTTATTTCCCTATGACAATTCCCATAATGAGTTGGGGATTTAAATAGCTACTTCTGAAGCATTTGCTCTGCAGTTATTCTAACTGCTTACTTATATTTCTAAGTAAACTACAGGGAATGCAAAATAGGATTGGGTGGGGGGGAAGGGCATTGGCACCATACATATTTTTATTTGACCTCGTGAAATCAAGAACGTCACCAAAAGTGCATTTCAAACTGGGACTGCATAAAAACAGCACTGCTTAACTCAGCAAATATCTTTCTGATATTTATCCCAGGTCAGGGAAAAAATAGTAGTAAACTGATCCTCCTTGCATTCACTGTGGTATAATTCTAGAATAATATTGGTAACTTCAGTGGAGTTTACTGCAGAGTAAATCTGACCTAACTGAATGCATAATCAGGGTGAAGGCTGGATTGACTTCTACTGCAGTTAGTACCAAAAAGAAAATAGAGTGGAAGGTAGAATCAGCAAGCTGCAGTTGCCTCTGTGCATCCTCAGTTAAGCTACTCATTAAACTCCAATCAGTCTCGCTTCAGCAAACCTTCTGATGGGAAAATTACTTTGCCCAGGTTTCCCCAAAACATGCTTTGAAGGAAAGAAGCTATGCAAATACCACCAAGGACAAATTTTGCTGCCCACCCTTTTGTTAATGGTGGAAATATCTGAAAAACAGAAGAGGGAAGAGAGATTTTCTCTGAAAATCAGACTGAATTTGAAGGAATGGGAACAGCAATCAAAATTAAGCACAAAACTTAGTTCCCTGATAGTGTTACCAACATTCTTCGCTGAGCACTTGGACATGTAGGAAAAAAAGGCTAAGAAATAATAAATATGGGATATCACACTGCCAGCAATACACTTATGGTATCAAGGGAAGAAAATCTAACTGGAACACATAGCTACCTACAGCTATGTGACAAGGACAGTCACATCTCTTGCCTCTGTAAATCTTTTTTTCTCTTCTTCCTCTCAAAGAACTTGATTTCTCAATTCTTTAGTTTTTGTACCAGCATCTGGGGACAGGGATGCTTGGTTTCATTCAGAAACAATATAAACAAACTGTGAAGACCTGGAATTGATGAAACTAAGCCTGCCATGGCGGAGGACACAGACTTCATTCGCTGTTTCCTGCTGTCATCTTTTAGCACTGTGTTTTATATCTTTATAGCTTTATGGTGTGACTTCAGAGTAGGTACTTTGCTGATGAATAATATTATTTTTTTAACATCTCACTTACTCATGCTGATCTGTTCAAAAGGAACCACAGCAGAACAATCAGAAGTGCCTCTCTACAGCACTTACTTCTTTACTAACAAAGTAAAGCCCATGTTTCTTCATAAATATGTATCTACTTATAATTGAAAAGATTTAAGACCTTCAAAGCCAGTATGTGGTGTCAAATATAGTTCTCATACATAACATAAATGGCCACAGGACGAAGTAATCTTTGGGACCTTCAGGCTGGCTCCCAGTTTCTCAGGTGACTGAAGCTTGTCTAATCAGCTTACAAGAAGGAATGAAAACTTGTCCATACCAAATTTACCACTGGGTAACTGTAAGCAGTGCCTGTGACACAATATCTCACTTCCTACAGCAGGGAAGCGGTACTGATCCTGACAGAAGAGATAACATGACAGCATGATAAAATGCAGAAGAGCTCATACTTCTGTTAGTCCAGTCAAGAATTTCTCCCGCTCCAGCTGCCGAGAGCGATGCTCATCAGGCTCGTCGGGGGAGTCGAGGGACAGCGATTCCAGAAAGAGGTTTTCCGTGGCACTGCACCGGTCGCTCTCCTTCAGCTTGGACAGTGAGCGCTCGTCAAACTGAATGGTGTCGGAATCAGAGTAGGACCTGGACCCCATGGAGCGGGGCACGCGGAGGTTCGCCTGCGGCGTAAACGGCCGGCGGCTGCTCTCGCTCTGGTCACACATCAAACCGCCTCCTCTCCGTGGGCTCGCTTCCTTCTGGAGCTGGAGACCAGGCAGATCAAAAGGAACAGCAATTACTTCTGCGGTGTATGGCATTTGGCACAAATCAGCCTTCCCCAGGAGCAAGACACCCATGCCCTGGGGCTTACAGGGACACTCCAAGGGACACTGGCCTTGCTCTACTGGTCGTTCCACAAAGGGAGACTTCTCCAGAACTTTGATGCCATTACTTAAGGGACTTTGAGTGACTAAATGTGTATATGCGCAGTTTTGCTTATTTACATGGATATATATATACACACTGAGTATATATGTATATACAAAATAATGCATCTGTCTGTAATCTGGTTTTGAAAGAAACAAATCAACACAGACTGTTATTTAAAAGCAATCTCGACAAGCAGAAGCTGATGGAAGGGTGAGTGAATTGCCTTCTCATCAAAACAAAGACATTTGTCTTCTGGTCAGCAACACAAAGATTGCGCTTTTATGTATATCACTTGTTTCCAAAGGTGGAAAATTATGCTTAAAAAACCCCAAAAGCTTTATTTTATAAATGGCCTAGCCTGAATGCATGGCTGGAAAGTTGAGTATTTGTACAGAACAACATTGTAAAAGGGATGAATTAGGCATGCAGAACATGTTCCAAGAAAATGCATATTTATAGAAGGGGCATCAAAGCCATTAATTCTATACTTTTCAAAAACTGGTGAAGAGAGGGTGAACCATTACTGAAATTGCCAATATTAAAATTAGATTATGTGATCAGATTCTCTTTTAATTGTAAATACAACAGGATAGATGAAGTAAGTGATCATTTCAAACATGATAAATGACCGCAGGAATCTAATAAGGACTCTGATGTTTTGCGAGAGCAGCATGTTAAGATTAGTGACAATAACTGAAAATGCAAGTCATTCCCTAGGGCCCTGAAAACTGAGAATTTACAAAACATATTAATCTTGCTGTTTGTGTTTGGAAAAATAAACAGACATTGTATGGCTTAATTTAGACCAAACCATTTTAGGTCCCAAATGATTAAATTTACACTTGAGCTGAAAACAGTGAGATTTTTTTCTTGATTCAGGTCTACAAAAAGGGAAATGCATCTTCAGTGTTTTGCTCGTGATATGCAAAACCTGAAAGAGTTTTATTAAAAGGAGGTGTCCTATAAAGGCAGGGGCTGGAAGGTATATATCAAGAAATCCTGGAGGCCATTCCTGAGCAAATGAACAAGATTCAAAGGAAGGAGAAATGGCAGTTACATGCTTTCTTTATAGATAGCTTCAATTACAAGCCCTTCAGAATTTTAGGGATCCTATACTGATAATGTTCTGGAAACCTTTATGAGAGAACAGTATGATGCTGCCTTACTCACTGAACTTCAGAGTGATGACAGGAGAATTAAAGTAACAAATATGGTCCTAACTTTTTAATAATGGCTAATAATTTTGAGTCCCCATGTATTTATACCTTTAAATACACAACTTTTCATACAGGTGATCTTGGGGGTTGAAATATTTGCCAGTGTGCTCTGTGCACAATTAGCTTTAGGAGCACAGGGGAGGGAGATTCTCTAAGGGAAAATGAAGTGACAGAGTACTTAAAAAGAAAAAAACAACTGTGAGCTCTGAAGAAAGTAGGTCATCATGGTTTTTTCTATGCAAGCAGTATTCCCATCACCATCCAGAGTAAAGTACTTTATATATTTTATACATTGGTGTGACTTCCCTCTTATCATACATGTATTATTCAGGAGCTGTGTGAAAGCAGACTGGCATAAAGCATTAGAATGAAATGTGGCACACACTCTTCTGCTATCTCTTGGACTTTGTTTCAAACATACACAGTGGTGTAGTCTCCTCATCCTCAGTGTATTGCCATACATGGAATACACACACCAAAACCCTGGGGAGTAGGACTTCAGAGATATACTAATTGTTTCCATATAAAGCAGGGCATGACTGCAAACTGAGAGGATATTCAACTAAAAGCTTGCAAATATTTGGAAGCTTTCTGTCACACAGGGAAATGTTTGATTATAAGCAAAGATGGACTTATGATGTTTTGTAGGCAGGTAGCCAAGACTTCAAATGCTAATTCTGGTCATTTAGTCCTCTGAAGTTAGCTTGATATAATATTTTTTATTTCCCCTATTCATTGCCAATTCTGTGTACAACTCTGTTGGCACAGTAAATATATAGTTAAAGCCCAGAGGTTTCAGAAACATAACAAAAGGAATCAGTTCCAGCACTAGCTAAGAGCTATTTTGTAGGGTCTCCCAGGATGACACTGAGAAGTTATGTCAGGTTTTAAGAAAATTAAAAGCTAGGTAAAATTAACAGAGATTTCTCTGTGGCTTCCTTCAATGTGCCCCATTCCCAGGGAATGCAAAAAGCAGCCTTTAACCAGGTTAAGTCCCTCAAGCTATTGAGGATATACCTAAACCCCCACAATTAAGGACAGGAAAAGAAACATACAAAGAGATACCAGTGACTCTCCAAAGAAAAGTTTCTGTCTATGTCCTTAGGATATTGGAAAATTTTCGGAGGGTTATTTAATTCCCATTGTGCATGAAGAATCCATAGGAGGTGGTTTGGCCACTACAACCCAACAGTTAGAAACCAGCCCAGTCAAGCCATGGAGAACTAACTAAGCAGCTTCTGCTACTGAATGCTGCAAGTTAGGAACTTTTCATGATGAGCTTTGCTATAAGGCTCACAGGTTCTGATGATTTTAACTTAGGAGATTAACTTAGGTTTTAACTTAGCACTACTGTGTTGCATTATAAAGACTAGCTAAAAAAGCTGCATGAAATACACACAAACCCCCTCAGATATATGGGAGATTTAAAAATCAGAATATAGTTTGCTGATATTTTGAAAATTAGAAGCTCAAAAATCACCTTTCTTGGTCTATAAAACCTTCATGTTTGGCACTGTCCACCCAGGCCTACACTTTTAGCATTGATTTTAGAAATAGCCACATGAGCTTTAGATTTTCCTACGTGCTTCTCTGTGGGTTTAATAGCCACAGCAAGGTTTAGTCTTGTACTCATAATGTTTCCAGCCTAGTCTCTTTTCTTTAACTTCTTGTTGCAGCAAGACACAGACAATGAATCCTTTCCAAAATTTGTCATGAAGTTACACTGGGCTTTCGTTGATTTACACCTGTGAGGCCACTCTGTGCTTTTCTCAAGTATAATGCTGTCTAAAGAGCATGCACAGGTCTGGGGTGGTTCCATTTCTGATGTCCTAAGGACAGAAAGCATTCAGTTAGTTGAGGACCCACAATTTCAGTTCTTTCTCTAGCTTTTCCTGGAATGCATGACTCAGAGCTGAACAATGTTCAGTCAAAAGCAGTGTTTTATCTCCCTCTCATAAAACTTCATTTTTTGTGCTGCTTCCAGACTAATAACAAATTTCTTAGGTATTATTTGTCGCTAATACTAAGCAGATGAAAATACAGATAGGCATGAAAACAAGAGGGTAGGTATGTGTTTCCCAAATTTGCAAATGATAACAGAGGTTTGCACAAAATTCATGTGGCCAATATTCGTCTGAATATTTAGTTATGGTAACTGTGTTTGTTATCAGTCAGGACTCTTCAAGTTAACCCCTGTGCTCCTTTGCCAGAGAAAAAGAATCCAGTTGAGATTGAATAGTTGCAGCAGCTGCATCTTTGGTGGCTAATTCACAGATGAACAGCCCCTTTTGGCAAGAAGCCGTGTACCAAACCCTGAGTAACTCTGTGGGTTGAGTGTTCTAGCACAGAAATGCACTGAAGCTTTCAAACAGAATGTGACCATGCTTGTCCAGGAGAATTGAAATGAGGAAATGACCTCTAACCTAGAGCTGATTTCTCATAAGTGGTCTTTTATAGGGATTATGAGCATTTTACTTTTACTCCCTTGTGTATATAAAGTGTTTCATAACATAACAAACATTGATGTAGCCGAGGAAGAAAGATCATTGCTGTGCTTCTTCTTAATGCTGTCTCTTGAGCTTGGCCTGAGTGTAGTAATGGTGCAATGGCCTGATTCTTTCAGACAGGCACTGCTCACCCAAGATGACTCCTTACCTGACGGCTCCTTACCTGCTCTATCCGCCTGAGCAGCTCCTTCTTTTGACGGTCCCATTCTCGCCGGTCTCTATCAAGCCTGTCCAAGAGCTCCACCTTCTCCCGGTTCCAGTTCTTCTCACTGTGCTGGATTTGCCAGCGGAGGTCCATCACCACACTGTGACTGTCAGCCAGAAGCTTCTTGTGCTCCTCTCTTTCCCTTTTAAAAGCTCCCTTTGCATCTGAGCCGAGACCTGCTTCTCCAGAGGTGTTCTCACTCTTCCCTTCCAGCTGGCAATAAAGTGAAATGTTACTAGGAGGTTAAACTTTCTGCAATAAAAATCTGTGCCTGACAATAGATTAGAGTTAAAGACCTAACTTTACAAAGGTAATGGTAGAATAATAACAATTATAACATCTTAGGTTCTCAATAAATGATCAAATATGTTCAGAGTGGAAAAAGTTTTAAAATTAGTGAAAGACAGTGAAAACTACAGGGAATAACTTCTCAAGCTCTACCAGTTCATGCTCTTAAGGCATCAGCTATGATCTTTCTGATGGGAATATAGGTACCAGTAATGAAGGAAACATGGAGATAAACTCCAACCTCATCATTATCTCTGAGACAATTTTCAGGACAATGTCCTCAGCTACTGCTCTGCTTTTGTGCTCTTGCTCAGTGCACCTGAAACCTAAGGAGAGTGAATTAATCTTCTGAAGAGGCCTATCCCACAACAACCCTCAGCAGTGGTGCTCTTGTATGACTGTCCTACCTTCCAAAAAGAGAAGGTGTTAGCAGCAGCAGCAGATGCACCAAGTTCATCCCCCTCATCTCTGAGGTTCTGGACTCTGAACTGATTTCAAGGGCAATTATCTGATGCCACCTTCCCTCCCTTCTTCAGTTTCATGGTCAGGGGTTAGCTTAAACAGATCAGAAGAGCTGGCCCAAGGTAATAGATTCATAGGAAAATACAAGCTTCATAGGGTGTCAGGAAATCTCTAGTTGAACCCTCTCCTTCCAGCCTGGTACACTCTGAGGTCAGAATGGGTTGTACAGGACTTTCTTTGGTTGGATCCTGAAAAAACTTGCAAGTGCAGAGATTGTACAACCTCTCTGGTCAAGCTGGGCAAGTGCTGGACTGTTTTCAGAGGGAAAAAGTGCTCAATTGTTTTGTGTAAGTTCAAGTGAGTGAAAAATTTATCCTTGGAATCTGACCTTCTGTTGACAGCTCAGTAGATGTGTGTGTGACTCAGAATGGGATACATCTCCATACCCTAGCTCTGCAGGTGAAATGGAGTGAAAAGCAGCAAAAACTCATTTCCATCTCTGGAGTTAATGTTGTCCTCAAAAATGAGAGTCAGCAGGTCTGCTGGGAAGCATATTCCTCTAGCAGGTGAGAAGGACAACACCTTCACCTTGCCCTACGTGGAAAATAAGCCCAAACTTTCTGAGCAAAAAAATCTCAGACTGAATTCAGGAGTGATGCTTGACTGGTTTCTGGAACAGCCTCCCCAAACAATTGACTGAGAGATTATTGCCTGAGTTACTTAAATTGTACTGAGCTGCAGAGAACATGCTGGTACACCCACTTGCAGTGACAGGGAAATCTTAAAAACACCAGCATCTTCTACCACTAATTTTCAGAGTCCAGTTGTTTTCTTTGAAATGACCAAACAACCAAACAAAAAAAAAATCAATTTTGAAAGAGCAGCATCCTATTTTAACAAAGTCTACACGATATCATCTTTCTCACCCCTGTGTACCATATGATATGATGTATGATATGATATATTATATTCCCCCAGGCATCCTGAAGCTGGACCATTGGTCAGAGTCCTAGTGAGGGACTCCCATATCCTTAATGGGTCCCATGTCCTCAATGCAAATTCTCAAAGCATATGCAGGGTTTGGCCCCTAACACTAACTCCCTAACAAGTTTCAGCCATTGCCCAGAAATTACCAAATGTTGTATATTATTTCCATTGTAGCAGTGGAGGTAGCAAAAAGCCTGGTAAAAGCCCCAGAAGGAAGGGTGGAAACCCCTGAGCAGGAGTGGCAGCACTGTCCCGGTGCCAAACACCAGCCAAAGAGGCAGCCTGGAAGTTTGTTGCCCATGCAAAGGCAAAGTAGAAAAGCTTGGCAGTTCTGTGGTCAAAATTTCTCCAAGTTTCATTCTTTGTTGCCATCTCGAGCTTAAAGTAAATCTGTCAACAAGTTATTTTAGAAGGAGCCAAAACAGGAACTGATTTTGTTTCCTTTTTCAAGTGATGCAGTGTTCAGAAATACTGGTGCACTGAGAAGCAGTGGAACTAAGAATTTGAATCTTCTGGGAGAAGACTGCTAAAAATGAAAGCTGCCTCCTTCATTCTGGGAAAGCAGCCCGCAGTACCTGGGCAGGAAAAGCAGTGCTCACATCTCAGCTCTCTGTGTCACAGTGAGTCTCTAAAATTTAGTACATCCTTCTAAACGTATCACCCTTCCAACAGTGAATATTTTTATTATATTTTAGTTCTGCGGAGAAGCTCTATGATTTTTCTCAAGATCCGAATGTAATTCTCCCACCCCTTCCCTCTTCAATGTGTAAAACAAGAGCTTTTATGCCGTCAGCTTTGGAAATAAATTCTTGTGGGTTTTTTGCTGATTTGTTTTCATGCTGCTCCAGAGACAGTACATATTCTGTGAACTGCTATACATGACACTGAAGCACCTGGCACCAGGTTTTATACAAATACTTCTAACAGTATCCCATGGCAGGTAGCAAGAGCTTTCTCTTCCATCACTAACCAGCAGCTTTGAATGGCTGGTTTAATATCAATATATTGATCTATCACTTCAGTATTGTTGAATCACTCTTTTCTCTGCTATAAATCAAATACTGCAGTTGTTACATACCAAGGTGCAGTGACGAACTAATTGTGAGCATGTCAACCACAAGACATTTTTCTCTCCAATAAATACAGACACCCACATGTCTCATTACGACAGCTGATACATCACCACCCAACTCTGCTGAGAAAATACAGCAAGAGGTTCAGCTCCTTTGTTCTCACCTACGTCACACAGTGCCCACTGCATGGGCCCTTGTACTGGGACTACTGGAAATCCAAGAGGAAACTCAAAGGGCAAAGCTTTGATCAGGCTTCAGGTGAGGGCTTTCAGACACCAGGATAAAATGCATGAATAAAGTCCCTTTTCATTTTGTCGTAAATTTCCTGTTTCTTTAAGCACCTCAGCTGTTCTTTACAGGTGTTGGGCTCGGGGCACGTTACCTGTTGGAGGCGACACTTGAGTTCAGTGATCTCCACCTCCCAGGCTGCCTTGTGCAGGGCATACTGCTGCTGGAGCCCCTGGCGCTCGCGCTCCTCGTCCCGCAGCTCCGAGCGGAACTCATCCAGCAAACCCTTCAGAGCATTCAGCAGCTTCCGGTTTTCACTTGCCTGACACGACAAAGCGGAAAAAATGCTGTCATTGGATGCTGAATTTAATCCCCAGTTTCATTTTTTAGAACAAAAAATAATTGTGTGTCCACTGCATGGAAGAGAAAGTGACTGGGTTAACTTTTGCATGAGAAAACTAAGAATAGCAATGTCTTGTCTGTCTACAGGCTGCTCAGGAAGCGGCTGAGTCACCATCCCTGGAAGTATTTAAAAGATGTGTGGATGTGACACATTGGGATATGGTTTAGTGGTGGAATTGGCAGTGTTATGTTTATGGTTAGACTCGTTGATCTGGAAGGTCTTTTCCAACAAAATGATTCTATGATTCTGCTTCTCATTAGCCCTAGTGCTGATGCTTCCTGAAAGCCAAAGGTACTTAAGTTACTCTGAAAAAGGCACTAAGCATCTTTCTGGACTGAGGACATCATTAATAATTAATTTTTTTTTAATACAGTAAACCAAAGCTAGAGTATCATTCCTGAGGTTTTTTGGGTAGTTACATGTCTGTCTCACACATACAGTCGTTGCTCTGTATCAAATGCCAAATATTTGTAAACTACATAAAAAGAAAGGGGATAACTTTTCAATGCTTTTACATTATCAGATAAAATTGTTTGGGGAAATACAGTGAGGCTTTGAGCTGCGTATCTCTGCTAGAGGTGGTTCAGTAGTCTGTAATTCATATTCCTGCTCCACTCCAGGCTGTTGCACCCAGGTTACCTTTGCAGCAGGACCCTTCTGGGTACCAAAGGCTTGAAGGCCAGGGAGGCCACCTTCCCTCTTGCAGAGGGGATCAAAGAGCAAACCCCCATTCATGTCTTGTTGAGAGTGTCATGGCCATGCTGAAAATGTTGTCAGAGCTCCTGTAGTAGCCAGAAGCCAAGAGCAGAGCTAAACTGAAAGTCTACTCCAGACCTGACACCACATATTATTTGTGATATATGTGTGATTGAGATAACACTCAAATCTTATTTCTTTTTCCTTAGTTTTGGTGTTTACCTTCTGCACATTCTCTGGGCATTTGCAAAACCTGCCATTTTTATGTGAAATATCAAAAAACATTTTCTAAACACTCATTCTGGATTAGTAAAAGAAAAGGTTTCCCACAACTTTTTTTGCAGTCATTGAATCAGAAAACAGAAATATATGATTCATTTGTCCAAAATTTAAATCAAATATTCCCAATGAGCCTCTCAAGCACCAGGGGGTAGCCAGAGATTGTATCTGACAAGTTATCCTAACTAGAAAATACCTTTATGAAAATTATACTTGACTAGCAGACACAGCAAGGGGCAGAAAAATGGGAAAGCTTACTCAAAAAAAAATGCAGCATTTAATTACCTGGTTCTCAGGAATGCATTAACTCCATTGGGAAGGCCTAACTCAAATTAGTTGTCTCCATCCTTGCACGATAGTCTAATCAAATTGTTTTTAAATTTGTTTTCTGAAGTGAAGGCTTCCCACATTCCCTCTTATCTGGTATTTCATGAAGTAACTACATGGAGGCTTCTTTGAAGACAAGTCAAGTAAACAGAAGTACACAAAAATCTAAATAATTGTCATGTGTTTTTTTCAATGGCAACCCTTTTAAAATTTTATGCAGACAACTAAGCTAACTTCATATGTTCATCAGATTTTTGGCATCACTGAACCCACCTCACCCATTTTTGTAATCACTAATTATACTTGCCAAGGTGCCTTTTTTCCTTAAAAAACAAACAAACAAACGTGTTCTACTTTTTCCAAGCCATTTGATGTATCAGCAAAAATATGCCAGATGTAGGGAAATAACTGCAGGTGCTCGTTGACTGACCTATCTGCTTGGGCTAATGAAAAGTGATGGCGTACGAGATGGGGTTTTGCAAGAAACGCACCCACAGAAGCAGAATTAATTCCATTAACATTTAATGCCAATTAGCAGTTTCCTGCTATCCAGCAGCAGTCTCCATCATGCATATAAGATCACCCACTATTCAATATGCAATGAGATTTTATGTTTCCACTATGCATTTTCATTCTACTACCTAATTAAGGCTAAAGTCTCCAAACATTTCAAGCCCCTTGTGTAATAATCAGAAAAAGAACTCCTTTGAAGTTTTGCCCTTAATGTCACAACAGGAGCTGCTGGGTATTGGAGGCATCAAAATCTGGTCTCATCCTCTTTGAAAACCCTGACTCCAAATGTGTATGAAGTGCTTTCATTCAAGAGCCATGTTCTGTGTTTTCTGGTGTGCTGCACAAACCTTTCTCTGGCAAAGCAGTCAAAAGGCTCCACAAGAGAAATGAGACAGAAGAAAAACAAAACCAAATTACACCAAAGCAAGTTACAACTCTCATTCCTGTGCATACATTTGATAATTTCAGAGTTCTATAAAATTTGGTTTGCAAAGAAAGAAGATAAGAACTAGTACATAAAGTACATAAAGACAAAAGAGCCTCATTGCAGGTTTGTAGCCTACTGTGTTGAGGGCATTTCTTATTTTAGAGGCATTACATCAATGTCACTATTATGAGACAAGTAACCCAGGTGCCCCCTGGCTTGCTGGGATTTTAATTACCTTGCCAATATAAATCCAATTTTGGTTGCATACTTTGTACTCCTGCAGAGAAGTCTCTTTTGCATGACTCTGTATTTATAGTTTGAAGTTTGAGAAGTCTGTGAAATTATCTTTTCTGTTTTGCCAAACTGGAGTGGTTTTGGAGAACAGAGAAAGTATTTTTGAGAGAATGTGCTCTGAAATATAAGGTTTACATCTTGCCATGCTTTAGATTTTGTTGGCAAAACAGCTTATTCAAAAGACTAAGCCCTGTAAATACAGAACAAGTATTGTTATAATCTTCCCCTTCCTTTCAGACATGTTGCACAGCAGAAATTTGGCATGGCTGTGATTCTCTGGACAGTCTTCCATGCAAGGAGGTGGCTCTTTAGCACCTCAGTTGTTTCTAAAATTTAAAGCTTAGACGAATCTCACTGATTCACAACTGATCTAAGACAAGATAATTACAAAGGCTTTACCTTTAAGTTTAAAGACTTAACCTTAAAGTTTAAAGTCTTGAATCCACAGCTCTGGATTTATAGGAAAAACAGCTGACAACAAACAAAACCTTTATGTAGCCTCCAATGTAGGACATTGGAGCATTTACTAAGTTGGGCCAACCACAGAAACAGGAGCATCCAGCTCTAGAAAAGTTTTGGACAAGGGCAGCTTGCAGTTTGGTTTTCTTTAAATCACAATTCATTTTCCTCTGAGAATTTCCCTTGAGAATTTCACTGAAGACTTTAGCCACAGGCTGGTATTACAAGCAGTTTAGTGGAGCAGTCAATTAAAAACACAAGGTCAGGAGCCTAAACAGCGAACCAGAAAAGTGTATTTTTTCTGTCTAATCACAGATCTAGGCAAAAGATAAGCTGGATCTTGGTGGAACCCATTTCAGTATATTCAGGGTTTAATGACTATTCCTTTGAGCTTTTCTCTTAGCTAAGCTTTGAATACAAACATTGTATGAAAGAAAAGAGATCTAATTGGGGATTTTCTTGACACCCCTCCCAGCAACAACACTACTGTACTGTTTTTCAATGATTTATCCACTGGACCACAGATAAACTCTGTACTCCTTATTCCCATATCTTATACCATCTAACAGGCATCTCACCCTTCATACTCAACTGAAACAAAGCTCTTCATTTATACACAGGCTGCTCTCCTCTGCTGTGCCACCAGTCCAACTTGCTTATCTCCTAAATACAAACAAACTTCCAGCCTGGCTCTTAACCATGCCTGACACTTTCTGCTGTGTCCCCCAGCCACCAGCCAAGGGACAATGTCATGCAGGGAAAGATGAACTGACCCCTCTCAGACTCCCCATCTACTCTGCCTCTTATCAGCTTTACTTTTTTCTCCCCTTTCTGCTCTGCCTTGCCTAGATCCCTCCACTCACTGTCCAAATAAAAATCCCAGACAAGACAGACTGGTGTGTTTTTCAGCCAGCTGAGTATCTCACATCATAGCAATATAAAATTAAAAGCTGCATGTTGAAATGATGACCTTTGGGTTTATAATTCTTCTCAAAACAATTCCACTTTCCAGGCAGGGTAAGAAAGTCAGCAGCAAGAGTGCAGTCTGAAAACACAAGCCATTAAATATTAACATTAAATGTTAAAAATAAATATGGGTAACCTCAGGTTACTGTAAGCCCTTTCTTTTTTCTGACCTAGTTATCTCAGCCACTCCTAGACTAACTAAAAGTTTCATTCCTGATGTGAAGTGTGTGCTGATGCATTTAATCTTGGAGCTTGTCAGGCAGATCCAGCAACTTTGGGTTCTTCTGAGTGGGTGCAAACCTTGGAGACTTCCAGCTGCACCAATCATTCCAATTCCCTGTATAAACACTGTTTTTTCCAGTTGTTGGCTTAAGGAACCTGCAGAAAGCCCCTCAAAACTCAGTATGTTTTTCAGCACAGCAGGGTTTGTGAGAAGATGCCCTGGTGTGTGCAAGCAGAACAAATAATAGTGATTAAAATGAGAAAAATTTAGCAAACTTATTCATTCTTGCAGTGCCAAAATAACACTTTTTTTTCTGGCTGGGGAGCAAGGAATCTGTTTTATTCTGACAAGTTCATTTGGATATCATGCACTATTTATCATCTTGGGGAGTACCAAGATGTGGTCAGTTCCTATGGATCAATTCTTCAAGCAAGATTAGCTGGAACTGCTGTGATGTATATAAAAATGAATTATAATCAATTTGCTGCCAATTTCTGCCACCTTAACTGAGATTAATGTCTAAGCAATGATTATTTCAAAGAGTACATAATTTATTTGAATGTTCTATTTTAAGAGCTCTATATGGAAAGTTAGTACATGATGGACTTTGTAAAGAAACAACACTTTGGTACATATTTATTTTACTAATTCCAGAATAAATCAGTGTACAGATGGAATGCAGTCAGATGGTGTGTTCATGAGCATCTCTTGATCATGCCTCCTACAGCCTTTTACCAGCAAAGAACTTGCTGAGAGGAAGGCAGTGATGGGTCTGGGTGACCAGCAAGGTAGAACCTTTCCAAATGTCAAACCAATCAAATGAATACTAACTTGGTAGCACCCTCCACAGAAAATAATAGTAAGAGAATATCCTTTTTATAGGATGGAGACTTCCTGTTCCCTGCTGCAGTGCATAGGCAGTTAGTAAACAGGTTGTCCATAATCATGAGGGTCTGGGGAATTTAAGGTGAAGAGCTCAGATGCAAAGAGACACAATCCCCAGGCCTGCAGTGACTCCAGCTAAATATTGTGATCATAGGGAGTACGTGTTTGCCTGAGAGCTGTCCCTGTGGAGCAGGCTCCCAGGTCAAAGAGAAGGGACATCAGGCATGAAGACTGAAGACTTTTTTCCCCCTGAATTTGTTTTTCACATAGAATTCTTGTTCCATTCTATTTATGATTGCAAATAAATCCATGTAACAGGATGGTCTCATATGAATGGTTTTCATTTAAAAAATGTAACAAACCTCTCTTCTTTTTCTATTTGTGTTATTACAAATAGGAAGTTAGTATATTGAATGTACAAAGGAAAAAGCTAGGATATATGGCAGTGCTCTGACACACAGTCAGGGCACAGGAGATGCCAGGGAAAAGTTAGTATGGTTTGATTTCAGGCCTTTAAAAACAAGTCCAGTGACAGGAAGGAGCTTTTACATTGTTTTCCCATCATCTCTAATGAAAACATTAAATACATGTGCTAGTTTCTTAAATTATTTAAAGGAAACAAAATCACATGTTCTTGCTAAAAGCTTGACAGTAGAGTACAATAGATGTGCTCAGACAAGAGGAGCCTGTAAACTCTGCAAACCATCACACAGTGATAGATGTTTCTGGGCAAACAGCCACAAGAGGAAATAGGATTTTTCACTGATAGCATCTGTCAACAGAAGAACAGTAATCACGTGGCTCGTGATTAAATTTAAATATAAATATAATGGATGAAATCCACTTTAATTGCTGTGTAGCTAGAAGCATTTACACAAGTATAATTCTAGGTGATTTAACACAGCAGCACAGAACTCTCTCAGAAAATCCACAGTTTCCATTCCTAGGGCAAGATAGACAAATGGTGTAGTACCTGCTTCTGCTGCTGCAGTAATTCTGCAGTCTGCAGCTGTGGTCCATGATCAGTGCTCTCCATGGTGGGATGCTGGGAGAAATCTGTCAGTGAAAACACAACATCCTCTTCCTCCTCCTCTCGTTCTGCATCATTTGCCTTCTGCTCAGGCTGAATGCTGAAGTCTGGGAGGGCCTCAGGGTGCTCGATCTAGAATGCAAGGACACAGGAATACAAGAACACAGGAACACGCTTTTGCCAGTCACCTCTGGGGCCAGAAATCTACTAAAGGTCTAAGGGAAGGGACTGCATCTCTGTGCTGGCATATACTGACTTCAGCTCAGGCTACAGAACTCATCTTTGAGTGATACATCACATACTGCATGTGTGAACACACCACTATGCAGGCCTGCAACACAGGGGATTTATGCAACTGAGATGGGTCCTAATGTCACATGAAGGATATAATCCATCACACATTAATCAAGAACTATACAAAATACTGGTGTGCTGTGTGATGAAGTAATGGAGATTAGGAAGTATCCAAATCTATCATTTTATTTTCTGCAAAGCATAAGGAAAACATGGCTCCAATAAATCTGGGCTTGTAATAAATTAGCCAGTTAAAAAATCCAAACAGTCAAGAAATGAAAGCTTTTCAGTATTAGAAGATGAACTAATTTACACAGAAGCAAATTAACACTGCTAAAGTAAAGTAGAAGCAAATTATTTCTAAATAGGTACTCATCTCTTGTTTCTGACTCATACTACCAGCAGATAAATCTACAGATGTTAATCCACTCTTTATCTAAGAAAACAAAACATTGGAGTATTCAGCTTAAGCACACTCTGACCAGACCTGAAAGATTACTTGTACTTCCAAATGCAGCAAACCTTGAAAAACACTAGGCATAAAAGGACGAGAAATACTGAGAAAAATTGTTTTGTTTCTTACCAAATGGCTTCAGGATTGCATGAACCTGCAAAACAAATCTATTGTTCTCAAGAATTTAGTGAACAATATCAGAATGGGAAAACACTTTATTTTTTTTTTCTTTAGCTAAGAAGCAAATGGTAATCCTGGCTGTGCAACTCAACACTTCCTTCCCAGTACATGTTGGCTGGCAACCACACCCCTGCTGAGATGTGTCAGCTTGGGGATTCCAGGTTGTCAAGTACTTCTGAAATTCCTGGTCTTGATTTAGCCTCTACTTAGAAAAGCACCATGATGACGACTGATGTACTGCTGCTGACGGCGACAGACGTGTGTATGGTGAAGGGGAACAAATAAGGATGATTCACTGTAAGTTCCCACATGAAGCTGTATAATTCTCCTGCCAACACAGAAACAGAGCTTCCCTCCATCTGTATTGCTGAAGGCTTTGTAAGGAACACACTGTGCACAGGATGAGAAAAACAACGGCACTCAATCCATCTAAACAGATTTGACTCCCTCACCTTGCTAATGTGTTTTTTTCCTTTTTTTAAAATTACTCAGGAGTCATATCTTTGAGACCTAATTAATTTCTCATTTACTGTGTGAGAGTATTTTAGGAACAGCTGTTTGTACTAGTTAAGGGTTTCCCTTTAAAGAGGGGTGATCTGTAACATATCATACAGAATATACTTCAACACAAGCCAACACCAGCTTTCATGTTTAATTTGAATCCCCTTTCAACATATGTTCAGTTTGAAAGCTGCTGGTGCCACAACATATTTCAAGTCTACACTTAAAGAAGGGACATCGCAGTACTCATCTGGGTTATTAAGGTGGGACAGTTACCTCCAATGTGTCCTCCCCTTCCTCCTCCATTCGCTTGCCTTGCCGCCAGTGTTTCAGCAGCCACTTCAGTTTGACATACAGGAGAAAGGTGTCCTGCTTGAAATGCCTGAGTTCCTGCTGAAGCAGATTTTTCTCCTGACTCCAGGTCTTCTCCTCCAGTTTGTTCTGCAAAGTCAAGCTCTGCACTTCCAAGTCTTTTCTCCGCAGGGTCTGCATATGCTCCTCCTCCAGCTTAAATGGAATAACAGGCAACATGTTAACAGAGTGGTGTCCTGGGGCCGTCTCCAGGAGTTGTTCTTCACTGGGTGAGACAAACTGAAATCTCTAATTGTCATCAGTAGTGAGTTTGGCTCAGTCTGTTCTTCAGCAGTTATGACTGCTGAGGAAATTAGAGGATAGCAGATGATAAGCTTTCCTGAGATAACCACATGAAAGTAACTTGCTGTGGAAGCGGGTATTTACTTCAATGATGCACAAGATCTCTGAAACTAGTTAAACATTTTACACCACTCATATTTTCCTCCCTCTTTTGATTGTATCTCTGCAGCAGGTTCCCAGCAGAGCCACCAGCCCACACTGCTGCACATATCACACCTATTAATTGCATTTGCAGCCATTTGGACAAGGTGGGACCACAGCTGCCCTTCAGACAACCTGGAATATTTGCCTTGCAACTTCCCCCCACAGGCACAGGTTCAATCTGTCCACAGTTGCTACATCTCCCTCTGCCTCTGGAGGGGCAATACTTCTGAAGAAAACACTTCCAGTACCTCAGATACCACTACTAGTCCCTCACTTCTTGCAGTTCATACTTGAAGGCATCTGAATGATACCACAGTAAACAGTCTCTCATTCTGGCATGATTTTATCTGGGACACAAGCAGGAACTGAAAAGACAGGAACAGATTGCCACTCAGCACTCGATGTATCTCAGCCTTAGTACTAAAATCACCAAGTAAAGCTCATTCCTTAGAGAAAACGAATAACTACACCTGTTTCAACCCAAGGCCACCTGATACATCATTATTTAAACATGACCTCTCCCTCAATATATCAAAAACAAACCATGGCATGACCTGCAGCCAACAGAACTTGTACAAGTAAGTTGCACAGTATCTCATATTGTGCATAGGTGAGAAAGTTTTTCCACTTCAACCAAGCTGTGGCTTCTTCATAGATGAAGAAAATGCAGATGGAAAATGAGTACAGAGTCACTGTTTAGAGGTGCCAGTTTCTATTTTCCATTCTGCAGAACAACAGCCTCTCCTTTTCCTGATCAGCTCCATAGATAAAATCTATGAAAGCCACAGTACACTTATGACCACAACAATCCAAACCATCGGAACACGCCCTGCAACAAACAATGCTCACATAAGAATAAAGAATATTTCAGGGATTAGCACTCCCTAGAAATAAATACTGCTAAGAAATATATGGTTGATTTTCATGGCAATATTCAGATGCTTCTGAAATAGGCTGCCGGTCCATATAAGACAGTTTCCTAAGGACTTGCCTGCCATCTAATTGATGTGCCTCAGCATAATGCACATTTTTAGCACCTATGCTACTATGCCTTAAAAAGTTCCCAATTAAATTAAAATTATTTACAGTAGTGGCTATCTTAAATGTGTTTAAATGAAGCTTAAAAGTAGCCTGGAACAAAATTAGCCATAATGGCCCAAAAAAACATACACACAACTCCTAATAACACTCATGTAGATTATACACTGCTAGCACACATCGATTTAATGTCATTAAACATTCCTAAAAATGAAAAAGTAAAAGAAAGCTGATTTTAAATTTAGTTTTTACTAAAACTAAAAGAAAGAAAAGAAGTAGATTTGATGTTGATGACCATATTTTCACCAAATAAAGTTATGGTTAAATACAGCAAAAATCTGAGTAATTTCCACCAGAAATCCTGGCAAGTGATAAAAAAAGGAACATTATCAACTGAATGGGCATAATCTGGAAAAAAAAATGAAGAATGCAGAAGATGCTTTTATTCTTCTGTTTCTGCTGGCCATCAACATGAACAGCTAGCTTTGATTTTGGTGCATTTTTCATCATTTTGACAAGCTGTTATATTTCAAATCCTTGTGGTCATGAATTCTTGCAGAAGACCCTAGTGGAGGTAGATTCATAGAGTGCTATGCTTTTTCAATGGATAGCAATTGCAAAAGAAAAGAGACAGGCATAGCTTCCAAAAAGCATTCATAGCTGAGGCAACTAGGAAGGAAATCAATTGACTGCCTTCAAAAACTCCAGTGGAAAGCTCCTGTGGAGATCAACTGGAAATTAAAGCTAGTTATAAAAAACCAGAGAGATACCACTTGGGCATAAAGAGATTAGTTGGCACAAGGAAAAATTCTTTACAGTATGCAACAATTATGCTGAATTTCGTCCATGAAGTAAATTTCAAAAGAAAACTTCATTTAAGAGCCAAACAGCCTGCAGAAATTAGCAACAGATTTTTTTCGCTCTAGGAACTAGAGATCAGAAAACGATTGACTAATCTGTTCCAGCCTTCAAAAGAGCAGGGGGAGCTCATGTAAGAAAAAAAAAAAAGATTTATTCACCAGCAATTAGTAAGAAGATTGGAAGCACTGAGTACTGAGAAATACAAGAATGAATGTCCTGATTTGTTTCTCAGCTTTGTGCGCATAACAACTCCTCTGACTTCAGAGAGGTGCTGGATTTTCTTTTGGCTAGGGGGAGTCAGAATAAGGTATGGAGCCAAACTGAGCTCCCAGGGATCAAACACACCCTTCCCCAGCTCACAGAGAGCTGAAGGGTGACAGAATTCTCCATGCAGTATTTCATACCTCTACCACAATTTCCCCTGCAGAGGGGAGGACAAAAATTCTCTCCACCAAGCAGAGAAGCCAGATTTGCAGTGGCAAAATGGGCTCGAGTTTCGATTTCCCCAGATTCCAGATTCTTCATTTACTCAGATGAGGTCACACAGGCACAGCCATCAGGACACAAGTTCCCACAGTCCTGACAAACAAGGCTCATGTCACACATCATGGTCATGCGTCTCTCCCAGGTGGGTTTTGTATTTACCTGGATGATCCTTTCTGAAAACTTTTCTTGTTCCTCTCGGTGAAGTCTTGTCTCCTGCTCAAGCTGAGCCTGAAGCTCCTGTATCGATACATTCTGTACAGGTAAAACATGGGAATCCCTGAGCTGATCAGCAGGACAAAGGGAAAGGTTTAGCAGAAAATGTGTCTTGGAGGTGTAAAAAAAATGAAAAAGAAAAGAGCCGTGGGACAGACATCTGCACAACTCAAGATTATCAATAGTTAAAACCAAAGCACAGTGTGCAAATAAATAACAATGTCCTAAATCTGTGTGGGAATTTCCTGTGTGGCTTCTTCTGGAATCTAAAACTGGAATGCTGATGTTACATATCGGATTTTCTCCTCAGGCCTCTGCTCTGGGTTTGGACTTGAATAGCTGAGACTCCTGTTTGCAGGATTATGTATTTGGTGGAGCATTTCTTCTTCATAATCAAAGCTGTAAAATTTTAACACCTCTGCAAAAGATGAATCTAATGCATGCATATTGTACCTAATTATTTATTCATTTGCAACAGTTTTGATAGGGTAGTTAATGGGACAGCATTTATTAAACCAAGTATACATAAGATCCCTTTCATCAGATACAAGACAGTCCTTTGCACAAGTCAACTTCATTTTGTGATTTCTACTCAAAATAATTACAACAAAAATGTCACAGTGATAAGCTGTGTGAGCCTGAGATCTGACCAAAATAATTAAGTATCCCCCCCTTCAGGTCCAATACTGTTTTAATCTTAATACCTTCAATTTATGTTCTCATTAAGTTTGGCATCCCATCAACTTTACTCCTGAAAGTTACTTAACCCAAAAATAAAGACCCAAGAAGGCAGAGTCAGATCTCATTATTTATACTACGGTAATTAATCTTGTGGCACTTATATTTCTGACCAGAACTTTCTATGCCCTTCACTTTGTGTCTGTCACATTGGTGCCAAAACTGATTTTGTCTCTACAAAAGTGATGCTCAGCTGGATGCCATCCTCTTCATGTGTGCAACCACAGAAAGCACTACAGCACCAAACTCCTACTTCCCAGAGAAAAAAGGTACTTAATGACAGGGTTGCTTCAGGCTTCAAAGTGCAATCCCAAATTCTCAGCTGGCCCATGTCCTGCGTACTCCAGCCTCAGCAGCTGCAAGGACATAACAAAGGTCGTGGGACTGCTCTCCTGGGCTGTGGTGCCATTTCCCTGCCGGCATCAGCCCCCAGCATCCACCTCCTCACCGCTCCTCCCACCGCCCAGAGCAAAGCCAGCAGCTGCTGCTGTTCGGGCCACACAGCCCTTGTTGGAACATTTTTGTTATTCAGAATGTATTTCTCCCTGGAACAGACACTCCTCACCCCTCCTCTAGGGAAAAATGAGATAAGGCAAATGGAAGTATCCCAAAAACTAGCTACGCAGGACCACACTGCTGAAAACCAAAAGTGGACCTACACAGACTTTCTGGGCCCTATCAGTTCCTTTTTCACTTGAGTCATTTATTGACTTGTGCATGTCTGTTTTGTACCCGGGGAAAAGACACTTCCATCCCTCTGAAAGGTACGGATAAAGTGACTAAGAGAACATTTCCTGCCTTATCAATTTTATCTGTCTCTGTAATATGTCTGCAGACATTTTGTGTGCATAAGGTCAAAATTTGGATTTGCTTTTGATGGGATTTGTCAGTTTTGCACAATCATTTGTAAATTCTTTATTTAATTCTCTCATGCAGTAAAGGAAAAATTACTTTCATCAGGACTTTCTGCATTATTTTATTCTGATCAGGCTTCTTTAGGAATATGGCAAACAAAAACCAATATATCAGTTCATTAATGTATAATTAAAACAAAAATCTGCTCCTTCTCATTACGAATTCAAAATTATTAGCCTATCCAATTTTTTTATAAATATGTAGCCCATGAAAAGCCAAATTTCAGGAAACTTCAGTGCTAGAATTACGTGGGAACTGTTGGAATTACTGAAAAGAAGTTGAATATATCGTGAAGGCAGACGCAGTGTTATATGGATGCTAAGGCAAAATCACATCACAACTGCTTTGCCTCTTTAAGGACAATATATTTTTGTAGGTCCTAACGTAAATTTAAGTTGGAAAGCAGCTAGTGCATGAATGAAGAGCTGTACACCTTTTCCCTTCCAATGCAACCTGAGAACTCTTCACAGTCCATAATTATATATAATGTCATTTCTAGCAGAGGTGTTGGGAAAGCTCCAATGCTCAAATCATGAGAGGTAAGGCTGCTTACATACCTAAAATGTGCTGCTAAACAATCTATTAGGATTGTAAATAAAAGACTTATAAATGCATCATGTAATATTCGTGTATGCAGTTCAGGTACCTGATACTGCTCTGAGGGATGTCTGGATGCTTATATGTGGAAATCAGTCCCCTATCATACAACCAGCAGGCTGTAGTCTGTGGCACAACTGTGGTTTTGTTTTGTTTTGAAAAGGAACATTACTACAAAATGGACACAATCGTTGATAACCTGTTATATTCCATTCTTTGTTTCCTTTGTCTCAAGGAACAGAGGAACTACACGAGGAACAGAAGACACCCCGAATATGACAGCCACTGCACGATGTGCTGACATCACAGAACAGACGCACACTCACTACAAGACGTACAAACACAATACCACAGGAACTACAAGCTAGTGCTACTCTGCCACAGCACCACGGAAACAGCTGCACTTCATGCACAGCTCAACACCGACTAACAGTGTCCCATTATCCCAGGTATTGCATTACCAGACACACTTCCACTCCTGTCCCCTCAGACAGGCACTGCCAAATCCTTCTGCTCAGTCCTTTTATCTCACCTGTTATCACTCCAGAACAAGTTAATCCATGCTGATGGCTTTACCTCAAGAAGATGCATAGAGCAAAATCATCCTGGGGACTTCACCACCGCTCCCTCATTGTAGTGATCCCTTTCCCCAGCTCTCAGAGTGCTGACAGCTTTTTAGGTTACTTTGCAGCTCACACAATCCCGCATATCTGCCATGACTTCTTTTTACAAGATTGCCATCCAAGACAAGGTATGGCTGTGTTTTATTTTTCTGCTTTCTCCATTTTACCGTAGATAATTGCAACCTCAATTTGCCTGCAAACTTAATCAATTTATATGCAACAACCGTGAACATGAAATTTCATGGAATCTTTCTCTTAAGCTTTTTTTTCCTCCCCAGAAATGATCAAACAAAGTAAGTCCTGAGGAGGCAGGGTAGAATGATGCTTTCCAGCATTTGCGTGCAATTCTAAGTAAGTCAAAAGATTATTATTTTATACTGCTCCTCTAAAGCTACATTATAATGCTTTGATATATTTGGACATTACATTTGAACACATAGTTTAAAAATTGCTACATTTTCACAGACTGACAGCTGGCCATTGCACGTGTCAGAAAGTTCCAGTGCCTTTTGTTATATCTTTTACATGTAATTCACATCTAACTGAATTTGCAGAGGCTGCTTCTGAAGATGTACTCTTCTTCTCACCCCTTAAAAATAGACAACATATATTTCATTTGCTAGTGTAGAATAGGCAGCTGTGCGGTTATTTGTCTCTGCTTATATGAAAAGTCTCTGAGTTTGGGAAAACACAGGACACTTCACTCCAAGTCTTTAAAAATCCACCTCATTGTATGGATAGTACACAAAGTCTCACCAAGTTCAGTTAGAACTCAAATATCCAGATTTACATCATAAAGGGTCTTTTAAGCCATTACACTGTCAGCCTCTACAGAATTTTACACAGCAAGAAAGAATACAATACATCAAAGTAAATTATTCTTGCATCCCCTAATCTTGGTGGGAAGGAATTATCAAAGCATCAGTTTATCTTTCTTCTTCCCACAGCTTTGCATTGGAGGAATAATGAAAATAAGATATACAATTTTCTATGTGGTCCTTCGTTCCTGTTGTTGGGTTTTTTTTGCTTTTCTTTACCAGAAGAAAAAAATCACAATGTGTAAACTGTTCACTGTTTCCTTTCTGGAAAAACAAAACTTTTAACCAGAGAAATGCACGTGCAAATTTTCAGCGCATGGCTGGGAGCTGCTGCAAAAACCATCCAGCTGAAAAACACTCACATGGAGTTATGAAAATTGCACAGAAACAGCACCAGTCAAAAAATAGGATTGTCAAAATACAGATCAAGATTCTCCTCATACATCCAAAATGGATCCATACAGAAGTTTTGATTCGAAGCAGGTGGTAAATTGACTTACCTAAGTTGCACATCACTGTATCTGATTGGTCCACACTTAACCCAGTAATTAACTTAGAGTTATACATTTCTTATTGACATGGTAAGTAAGGAGAATGGATAAACATATTAAAAGTGGCTTATATGCTATTCCTATTTTATTACTAGACCTCATGGAAAACTTGTTGTTTAAGACATGCTCTCACCTTCTCCAGCCTAGTTGCTTTTATTTTAAATCTCTGGTGACAATTCACTCCTTTTAAATGAATTCCCTTCAGTGGATTTTTTTTCCATAACCTATGAGTGTCAGAGAGTTTGTGGTACATTTCTACACAGAAATAAGTGGTAAGTCTTTAAAAGCCATGTATGAAAACAATCAAAATCTGAAATGCAAAGTGCTTTTGCCTTTGATATACACTTGTTCAGGAAAAAGCAGAACTGAGATCCTCTGAAGGAAGAGAACTAGGAGAACAGCTCAAATTTAGAGCATCAGGTATTAAATGGACCAAGCCATGTCTGGTCATTTGAAAGAGAGAATATTTTCTTCTTCTGAATGTCTTCTTGCTTCTGAATAAACAGCAAGCAATTGCTTGAGGAGACTGCCTTTTGTTTATGGATATTCCATCGGCAGAAATCACCAGGTGAAAAATTACTTATTGTTTTTCCCATTGGTTTTCATTTGTTGCCATAAGATGTTTGCTCCATGTTACCTGTTTTTAGTTCTCCTGTTTATTTTAGTCAGGGCAATTCTTACTAGTTCACCTGCTTTTTCCTTGGATAGTAAAGAATGATTTCCCTGTCCCACCACAACAGAGCTCTGCTGAAATCATGAATAATGGATGGAACATCCACCCCAATGGGCTCCAGCTCCCACAACAGCAGCTGAAAGGCTTGTTTCAGCAAGAAAACAAAGCCCTACTCTTAAGGCAATTTCAAGATATAATTTCCCTTGGACTGGGACTCTAACCCACCTCTTTAACATGCAAATACATTCTAATAATCCTGTTGCACTAACAACTAAAGTGCAAAGCCCAAACAACAGCACATGTTTATAGTTAGGCCACAGGGTGGTTTCAAGCACATGTCTGTCTGCATTTATTGTTTTTAATAAAACAATTAAGCTCCCATGGTGCTCATTTTTAAAAATAGAAGGAATCGCTAAATGGAAGCTGTGTGGCATTGCTTGTAAAAATTTTGATTTAAAATTCAGCTTGGAAAAAATAATTTAGATAAATGAGCTTGCTTGAATAAAAAGAAAACATTTTCCTCAGTGATATGAAAGGCCAGTGCATATATTTTCACTTCTTAAGTCAAAGCAGATAAAGACTCATGTATAGCCATACCCACTGTGGGCATTTGAGTCTCCATTTGAAATTTTTGTGGTAATAAAAAGACACCTTCAGTATTTGAATAGTATTCTTTTTCCTGCTCATTTACCAGGAACAAAAAAAAAAAAATACAGCTTTTGTTAGTGCAGTGTATGAAATTAAAAAAAAATTAAAATAAATTTAAATACTTAAAGTGAATAATAAAATTAAATTGAATAATGAAATAATAAAATGATACCTTCCAAAATTATTTCGAGAAATCTTCTCCTTCACTTGACTGCTACAGATCTTAAGATTTCAAGATTTCAGTGGGTTGCCTTCCCACTGAAAAGTTTTAGCATAAAGCAATATAATATTCTTTTTTGCTTAAGGGATCATGACTGTAAAAACACCTTAGTCTTCTACATTTTCTCAAGTTAGACTATTTTAGCCCCAGCCTAGGTCATGTTTTGAGCACATCTGGTGCTAAACTGGTTATTCTGTACCTTTGATTACAACTACTGGTTTGTTCCTTGCTAGGCTATGGTGTGAAAACTTTCCCTTCTCTGTTCAAGCACAGTTTACTGTACATATTTTATACCTCATCCCATCCTGAGAGAGGAAAAAAAAAAGGTATTGTGCCAAAAATAGCCAAATCCCTAATCCTAACAGAGGGCATACATATACAGTCCTTAATATAATAACAACACTGATCTAAGATATAGGAGGAATCAATAAATATGACAGAATTTAAACAGAAATATTGTAATATTGAAATATTGCTGGAGAAATTTTCTGACCCTATCTACCGTAACTGTCGAGCAATATCAATTTCTGGTTGCAAAGGGATCCATGCTGAACAAGAAGATTTCTCTACCTCACTGGCCCCTTTCAGAGCTGAAGAATTACTTTACCCTTCAGTGAGAAGCTTATGGTGTCCTGGATTTATCAGATATCCTTCCTGAGGTCTATTATCACTGTTACAAGTGAAAAGTTGGAAGAGACGCTGCTGAACAAATTTATTGTTCTAATCCTACCAAAGATCTGTGCTGTTGGGATATTTGAAACCAAACCAAACAAAACCAGCAAAGAATTACCTGTGTTAAGATGAAAGGCCACTTTCCCTTTCATATCCACATCATCATGCTGTTTGGCTACCAGCTGTCCTGAAGTTTTTATCTTCCTACCCCTGCTTTCTAGGCCTTGCAATTGCTTACTTGCTAACCCTGCTGTCCTAGCCAGCCGTCCCCTTTCTCCAGACTGAGCTAGGGTTTCAGATCTATTAAGTCTTCTTCATGTGTCTATAGAATTAAAAGCACGTTAAAACTCATCCGTCACTAGAAGCTACTCTCACCAACACAGTTTCAAGAACTGGCTTCCCAGTGGCCAGCAGAAAAGTTCCTCACTATTCCAAGCCCACCTTTTTGGAGACAGATTCGAAGTTGTTTTCTTCATGACCAGTTGCATTGTCTGGACAATCTGTGTTCATGAGAAAGCAGCTAAGGAGATGTTTACTGAGGCAGATATGGCCTCTGCATGAATGAAGATTCAAATAAAAACTGATTGATGCTTTTGACAAATGGAAAAGTACTTAACAACTGAAACAATGGAGACCTATGCTTTAAATAAGCTTTTTTGGAAGCTGCAGGGTGCTGTATTCCTGCGTGGTGTTGAGAATCACCATGCACACCAGCATCTACTGACAGGCAAAATGCAAAGGATTCTCTGTCTGTGGACTTTCCAGATTTAAAATATCCAACAAGGTAAAACCTGGAAGCATGATCAAATATCAGGGATTGCAACCTCTTCTGGAGATCTTTCATTTCTCTACTCAGTTCTAAAGGGTCCCTGAGCTGTACTTTCCCCCTTGGCAAAGCTACTTGGAGCAGGGTGATGGCTTGAAAGTTAGGACAAATTTGCTTCTCTGAAACTGCACGGGGCAAATGAGATCAACCACAAATTTAACAACAGGGGTGCTGTGTTTGGTTTAATTTACTCCCCCAACCCCTGGCTTCTGTTACTCATCTCCTGGCTAAGGCAGCAGGAGGCAGTGAGTAAGATGGGCTGCTTTGCTGACCTCTAGACTGAAACAGCCCTTGTCTCCTGGCCTGTAGAGTTTAATGTCTCCATCAGCTCTGCGGTGTGGGTCGGTGGTGGCTCGCTGGTGGCGAATCTCTTGCTCCTCTCCACGATCTTGTTTGAGCTGCCACTCCATCTGATCCCTCAGTTTGGACTGTTAGATGCATGGGCGGTTTATAACAAAAAAACAAAAGGACAGGAGGGAATAAAGAAAACAAAAATGGGTAAGGTAGACGACTGAAAAACTACAAGACAAAGAAAAGCGTGAACAGAAAAAACAACTTAAATACAGTGGCATAAGAAAGTGAAGAGAACAAAACCAAAATGAGGATGAGCAAAATGATGGGCTGAAACATCTGAAAAGCAAAAAAGAGAAAGAGAGGAAAAAAGAATGCAAACACTGGTTATGAGGCGCATGCAATGAGGATGCATGAGTCAAACCAACAGCAAGCATACAAGTCATGAAGGATATGGGACACAAGGCTCTTCCTTCCTTACTTGTGCGGTGCAGAAAAGCCATATCCAGTGTGGCAGTTGTGGCAGTTTAGACATGCGCCCATGGGCAACGCTTTAGGCAAGGCAGTCCTTCGCTGGCTACAGAGCTTCTCACTCGCTGCTCGGTTAGGGGAGTGAGCTGTAAGCAGGCTTTTCAAAACACATCACTTAGAAAACTGCATTTGGTTGGGTTCTTTTGGCAAGGCTTTTGAGAACATGCCTGACCCTTTTACAAGAGAGCATAATAAAGACCTTCTCACATTTCTTGGCAAGGCTTCTAATTTACATTCACCAGATTTATTTTTTTTAATTAATCTCCTTTTTTCATGGGGAAACACTGCTGTTACAGACAAAAACAAGACAGATCTCTTTAACACCAATGGATTAGCCTTTTTGCCACGAGGAACCGCCTCTGAATCAAAGGAGTTGTGCAAATAAATAAATGAAAAAAAACTATAAAGTGTTTGTTTAACATTACACACTTAATACACTGCGGGTCTGAAATCATAACAAAGCAGCTGCGAGGAAAATTAGCTCTAGAGTAGCAATTGCCAGAAAGAAAGAGAAACAATAAAGAGAAAGGAGACAAGTAAGAGGCTGACCTACCTGGAAGTCAGTGATCAATTCCTTCCCCAGGTTACCAATGGGAGAGTCACGGGACATGGAGGTCATTGTGGATAGGAAACTGGAAGACTCTGTGAGATGGGGAAGGGGGGAGAGGTCCTCCATTTGCTCCTTAAGGCCCTCTCCAATGTGATCAACCTTTTCCAGGAAGGTCTGAAGCTCCTTCCGGAAAGCTTTCATCCTGGAGTTGACAGTGTCCAGAAGCTCTGGCTCATGCTTATCTTCTCCCCTTTCCTCACCACTTCTGAAATCCTGCTCAGGGGATGGGCTGCTGGTTACGTGCACCTTTGCATCGTAAATCAAGCTGTCTGTATCGGTGATAAGGCGCTCCACAGTCCTTTCCAGTCGCTCAGCCTCGCGTTTGATGTTAATTAATGACTCGGTGTCCTCTTTCACTCTCATCAGCTCGGTGGAGCACAGGTCGCTGACTTCTGATGGCTTCCCACTCCCAAAACCCGACGTCTTCTCATAGACTTCTTCCGAGTCGCTCTCGCCCCCAATGGGCCCCTCTCTCTTTGGCTGTGGTGGACGACCATCTTCGCTATCACTCTCTTTTTTCCCAGCATCACTGTCGGCGTCGCTGTCCCTGGGGCTGGAAGTGCGCAGGCCCAGGTGAGAGGCAAGATCGTAACGCTGGACGTTGGACATCAGGACCCTGTTCTCATACTGGAGCTTCATCACTTTCCCACTCAGCTCATTGATTTGTGACCTGGCCGACTTCAGCTCCTCTTGCAAGGTCCCACCACCCTTGGATGCTGCATCATCCAACCAGCCTGGCTCCTGGCCCGGCTCGAACTTGAATTTGTTCAGCTCATTCGTTAGCTGCTTGTTGTGATCCTCAATTTCAGAGATTGACCTCCTCAGCAGCTCTGCTTCCTCTTCCACAAACTGCAGGTGCCTGCGTAGCTCTGTGGCTGACTCCACAGAGTCTCCGTAGGGCGAGGTAGGAATGCTTGAAATGTGGTCCCTGCTGAGACACTCTTTTTCATACTGGCACCTCATATCCTCCATCTCAGCTTTAATCCCCCTGTTCTCCACCTCCAGTTCCACTATTTTTCTGCCCAGTATGTTGGCTTCCTCCTCCACCAGCTTCAAACGAAGCTTCAGCTCAGCCTCCCTGGTGCTGGGTGGGCCCCCTGCTTCCCCAGTAGGCAGGGGACTGTCCACATCTCCATAGATGGACTTGTACTTCTGGAGCTCCTGCTCCAGTTCGTCCTTTTCCCTGCCCAGTTTGGCCATCTTCTTACGCATCAGCGCTGCCTCCTCTTTGGCAAACTGGAGCTGGCACTTCAAATCAGCACTGTCCTCCTGCCAGGAATAATCACCCCCCCAACCCAAGAAGATATTACAATACAAGAACAACCAGCAGCTTATTTTCCAAAATCTCCACCTCCCCATCCTCTGAGCTGTATCTGTTAAGTATGCAAACAATCCACAGACAGAGCTGCGCAAACCACACAGTTGGCACGTTTCATGGCTTGGTCTTGGTTAAATTGGCAAAGCAGCTTGACCAGAGTTAAAGAGGGAGAAAAAAAAAGTGTGCCTGTGCAAGTGTTCAGTGATGCAAGAGTGCCAACACAATGTTTTTTCTCAAATGCTGAGCAAACTTTGTGGAAAATAGTGACTCAAATGAAAAAGTTCCATGATTTGCTGGCACTTTTTGTTCCATTTACTTTTCGTTCCATTTACCTTTAGTGACACACTTGTTCCCCTTAAGCACCATGAAATAGACTACTCAGATGAATTTGCTCATCATAATCTCAAATTTTGGGCTCCTTCAGCTAGAAAGCAGAACAAAGGTGTGCTAAACTGCATGGTTGCCTTGAAAAGTGAAGACTTTATTTATTGTAATCTCATAATGCTGTGAAATAGACGAAGTTCCTAACTTGCTTCCAAATAGGAAACACACTGTTGTCTCTACTGCTGTTATTATTAGGACAGAGCAGATTGTGATCTCTGTTTCTGGGATGAACAACTGTTTACAAGGGAGATGGGTGAAAACAAGTGAAAAAGGGAAGAAAAATTCATTAAATCGTGTTTACATCCAAATCCATCCCATGTGAAAGCCTACTTTTTCAGGAAGTATCAGGGTATTGAATGACTGTTTGGAGTTTTTTGTGTGTGTTGGGCATTAAAAATACTGCATCTCATCTCAAATGAAAACTCCAGTGTGTATTGTGCTGAAATAAGAGACAAGGTTAAGTAAATTCTAAGCCAATGAACAATTTCTTTGCATGAATCACTTTCATGAATTGTCATGGAGATACAGGCCCTTGGCCTCAAAAGAGACACATTTATCAGCATTAGCAGTATAATGGAAGGCAGGCTTTGAAAGATGATCCCCTGAGACAGCAGATTTTATCGTTGTTGGTAGGCCATGTGGACATATGTGCAATTATATATGGAAACTTCATTTCGGTCTCCGGAGCACTGTTATCTTTCACAAGCACCATTTTGTTTTAATTCCTAATAATGGAAACCAAATTCAGAGGAAAACATGACTGACTTTAATTGTTAACACAGATCAGGCTATGAAAAAGAAAAAAAATTTACACAACTAATTATGGCTCAGCAATCTGAGGAAATTATTTAATTTTATAACACAGATTCTAGCACACTGGTCTTCTATGTTACCTAGATTAATTTTGCCACATTCTATTTGCATAAATACTAATTATTACTTAATTTCAGCTGTTAATGACTGAACAGATACAAAAGTGATTGGTTTTATACTTCTGAACCCAGTTAGCTTTCTGACTGATGCTGCCTGCTGCAGGTTGTGACTTTAAAATGCTAAATAAAAAAAAAAAGTTAACTTACATGTTAAAAACATGATAGAGGTAAAAATCAGTCAAACTTTCTGTCAATATGTGGTTTTAATTGACAACCAAGAGCCAAACACAACTGCCATCAGCTCATGTGTTGACTAAAATTTTGGTCATCTTGTTTCTGGCATCAGAAATACAAGTTTTAAATTAATTCAAGCAAGGTACTTATGATTGATTAGAAGCAGAGCCTCTAGGAGGTGGACTTTCTATCCTCTCTATTGTCTTCTTGCATACACACTACTCTTTTTCACATATATATTTATAAATTACTCTTCTCTTTATAACTCAGAAATGCAAATTAAGAATCAAATTAAAACCTTGCAAAATCCAATGCAGCCTCTACTGCAGTCACTCTAAACTTTGGTTGCTCTGGCTGGATAAGGCTGTATGATTAAAGCATCATCTTTGTCCAGGGCTGTGCAACACATTACCTCTATTTTTCCTATCATGGTGAATCAGTTTATCCCCAGAGCTCTAGGCTTTGCTTTTAGGGAAATACAAAGATCACAAGGAAAGTTACAGCCAGACTAGCGCTGTACATCAGAACCTACAGGTGGGATGATTACTCCTGGTTATTTATTTATTTATTTATCTGTTAATAGCTGGTCTGATCTTTTCCTTATTCTGTCTTTGTAATCCTGCATTCTTTACCCAACTTCTTGTCTGCCTGTGGCTTCAAGAGCCCAGCTGTCTGTGGCAGTAGCTGTGCCTTGTACCTCCCTGGCTGCAGGCAGCTGGAGCCATGCCTGAGTGAAGGGGCAGCCTGCCCATTCCTCTGCTCTGCCTGGGAGCACCAGGGGCCCGCTGCCACCCTGGGCTCAGAGGGACCTCCAGGCAGACACCCACTGCCCCTCAGACAGTACAAATAACAGCACTTGGGACAACACACTCAGAGCTTGGGAGCTTTTGAAGAAAAGGGAAAGGTTTTGATGGGTTTAGGGTCAGGGCTCCAATGTTTTTGCTCAGATCACTGCACGACTCAGTGCATCGCTGGAGTTAGTGTGTTATTACTGCAGGAGAAAACCACTTTTAACTCCTTTAATGGAGTTACTTTATTGACAGGTTTTGTCTTAGCTATTTTTTTTAAAGGATCAAGTTTTCACGTTTTGGTTTTTTGCAAGAGCTGAAACAAGCAAGATTTTTTTCATTAAACAAACACAAGCCTCATACAAAACAACAGAGCTGATGGATGTTAATCTTGCCTACTAAATATGGATCCCATCTGGAAAGGTGAGAAAGCTCTAGATCTTCCTCTCTTCCCTGCCAGGGAACATCCCATTCCCCTGACAGCATTTTTTCCGAAGGAAAAGAATGGTCAGGAGAGATTTATCAGCCAGATCTAAGCATGCCAGAAGGGTAGGACTCCAACCTTCATGCATCTGTCCCTCTGAAGCTTTGTGTACAGAAATATCACTGACTTCTTGATCAGTTCAAACCAAGTAGAAACAGTGAGAGGGTGAGACACCCACACAGGCAAAGCAGAATTTTGACATATAAGGCAAACTAAAGAGAGGTCACATCATTGAAACTAAGAATAGCTCATTATTAGTTAAATTGTGAATAAAAATACAGGAGAGGGGAAAAAAGAAAAAATAGGGAGAATAGCCTTTCCGTGGTTTTGGAGGAATAAGAGGCTCAAATCCCAGGGGCTGAATACGGGCAATGGCCTCCTGACTGTATTAAACAGCCAGTATGTGGATGTTTTCCTAAAATGTGTACATAGGGCAAATCATAAAGAAAGAAAAGGAACAGCAGTGCCAAGATGTGACAGTCGCGGTGCTTGGTCATGGACTTTGAGAGATCATTGAGGATAAATGGGAGTTAATGATTACCGATGGTGGTAATTTACATGCAATTGCACTGTGGCTCTGCATGGCACTTCAGAAGGATGTAAATGGGTAGAAAAAGCAGAAGAGAAAAACCCAGATCCTTCCCCACATAGTCTGCTGTCTAATGTAGACAAATGCAGAATGTGGAAATAAAGAAATGAAATGTATAGGAAATAAATTAACTTAATTATGCAATGTAAATGCATAATGTGTGAGAGATGTAATGAGAATGAAGAGCTGATCAAAAATTCCCCAATACAATATTTCTTTTCTGGCAAGAAGACACAAAGCTAGATAGAGGCCAACACCATCTCCTCTACCACCACCACCACCAGCTCAAGGGAACTGCCAGGCAGAAGACTGGTAAGCAATTTTGGGGTTGCTGATGACAAGGCAGTACAACCAGCACCCAAGCATCTGGCTGAGTGCCAGCACTCCTACCTTGCGCTGGAGAACCACTTTTCTTTGTGTTTTGCCTGGTGCCTGGTATTTTCCAAGAAGCTCCGTTTTGCAATTCTGCTGAATAAAAACTTTTTTTCTTCAATACTGCTAGAGGTGGGAGAGTGCTGCTACAAATTCTGCTTTACACAACTTCAAGACAATCAACTTCATGGGTATTATTTACTCGGTGTGCCCTGTGGTGGGTGTGAAGCTCCAGCAAATATTCATGACGAGCCCTCAGTAAGTAAAAACACCAATCTTGCCGCATGCTGTGTGTATCTGTACACATGTGGATGCACAGAATCTAAGTTTGAGGCCTTCTCAGTCACAAATTATATAATGGGTGCTCATTCTAGGTATTTAAGGTATCTGTCCCCGAAGAGCAGCCTTTTGTACCACCTGAGCTGTGTCTGTACCAACCCTTTAGGACCATGCCCAGGACCTGGCATTAGGTGTGATGTGCCTTGATGTCAACCAGCAAATACCTCTGAATGGATGCCTGGGTTTGGAAACAGCTATAGGTAATATCCTAGAGCAGGGAGAAAGCCAGGACATGTACATATAGGCTGGGCTATGTTAGTATATAACGTTATTTCCCAGTCTTTTTTACCCTAAAGAGTTGCTGAAGAAAACTGAATGGCCACCTTGCAGAGTGCTGATGCAATGGTTTTCATTTCCAACCCCAAGTCCTTTGCTTGCAAGAGTTATGATGTGTGTAGAGCGTAAAAGCTTTTCTCCCCGTGTGGCTGCTGGGATTACTTCCCTTTGTTGTGAGTGGTGCTGAGCTCACACTTGGTTACCCAGTTAATTTTGTGAAGTTAATTCTGTTAATTTTGTGAAGTCCTTTTTAAGGTTTTCTAAAGCAAACTGTAGCTGCTCTTAATGCCTGGATTTGGGTGGAGGAAGCAAGTATGAGAATCCATTCTCTTTGCACAGTTCTGTATTTCCAGGAACGAGGAAAGGAAGGACAGTGCTGCTCACAAACCCCCATGGATACAATTGTGCCTGCATGTAGCTTCATCTGTAATTTGCATGTGTGTGGGCATGTGTATATATTTCATCCATATATTTTACATACTTGCAGAAAAACAAACTCTGAGCTGACTGATGACTTAAATAATTCCCCATAACAAGTGCCTCATTTTAAGGTATGATTAAGTCATGCTTGTGTCATCTTGGTGAGGACGCTCAGTCTGCTGTGTCCTGGGAAAGCAGGCTGAAGTGCCCTGGCCACTGGCCAGTCCCCCAGTATGCCCACTCAGCTGCCTGCCCAACCCCCTCAAGTTCAACATATTGTAGTGATTTATTATGGTTTCCATTACAAATCAATGGATTTTAAGACTAGACGGCCCATAGGTCTCGGCTGTGTACACTGAGCCTGCCGAGGGGGCAGCAGGGGAAGCGCATCCCTTCTCTAATGAAGGCACAATGTCTCTGCTGGCTCCTTTCCCAGCAAGGTGAAATACTATCCCCATCTCCCTGGCTATAAACAGTAACTGTGCGGCTGCTGGGAAAAGCTTTAACTCCTACAGTCAGCACAAAAAGCAGAGAAAACCAGGCAGACTGCTTTCCTGAGAAGGACTGACCAAAGAGATTCCAGTAAAACCCGTGTCCAAAGAGAGACTGAGTGGGCAGCTTGGGCTCCCTGAGGTACCTCAGCTTTGGGGAGCACAGGTTCCTGCAACATCAGGGAGATCAAAGGGGACACGAGAGCTTGTGAGGTGTCACTGCAGTGTGTGAACTGCATTCCTGCCAAGACACTCGTTAGCACAAAACCTTTGGCACAGTGTATAAATTTAGTTAGTCCCTAAGCTGTGATCCAATTATTTTGTGAGGCAAGGTGATTTACTCCTCTTGTAGCAAACCTGCAACCTTAACAAGCACAATGAGCCTGAGAAGCTGCACAGTTTAGAGACTGCACTTTTGTCCTAAATTGCTTCTACATTATCTCTGGGAGGTCTCAGTAGATTAAGGCCTAATTGCACTCAAGTTAATATACCTGATGGCCCTGTCAAAACCCATAAAAATAAATTTTGAGTTGTATCATGTGATTTTGCTCGAAGTTGCATGTTCATGGAAACCATACCTGGGTAAATGTCTTTTTTTCTTTGTGGATTTCTCTGCTGCCTCTCCTCTTCAGGGAACTCTGCAACAGAAGCAACTCTGTTATTGATAAGCTAAATACAAAGCCTGCAAGTCTGGCAGGTTTCACCACTATACAATTAATTAAGGAAACAGAAAGAAAGAAAGAATATTCTCCTAAACAGCTGGAGATTAAATTTTTCATAATACTTAAAAGAACAAGATAATCAGGTCCTTGCTGGTGAATCTTTTAATGCCAAAAATCTCCCATCAACACAAGGAATAAAATTAGTTAAAACTTCACAGAGGGGGGAACATTCCCCCCCCCCCCCCCCCCTTTTTCTTCTATGGACCACCACAATTTTTGGCTAAACTTTCTTTTTGCATGGGGGCAATGATTCATGTTTGATTAATCCAGGGCAGAAGTCCAAGAATCTTACTCACAGTCAATGTGAAACACGTGGTGGAAACCTCAGAGGAAAGCAACCCCCCAAAAAATAGGCAAGGACATGCATGTTTAAGCTATGTGGCATAACATTATTTGTTAATCCGTGCTAGCAAACATACTGAGGAGTCCAGATAAAGACCAGATAATTCTCCAGGTATTTTTGAATTTACTTCATAAACCAGATTTTATTGGTTTTGCAAATCTTTTGCAAACCTTTTATAAGCAAATATTTTTAAGACATGGAAATAATGTCATCATCGCTGCTTCACTGAGAAACTTCTCATTTCCCAAGTGGAAAAGCGCAGTTTTCCTGAGAAGTGAGAGGTAGAGCACTATCAGGATGTTACTAATATTTACTTGTGTGTCAAGACTGGTTTCCAAATCAGTGTGAGCTGGGCATATTTAGAAAAGGCATACATTTGACACTTTTCAGGTTGAGTCATCAGAGGGGATCAAAAGATATCAGAGAAAAAAAAAAAAAAAGCAGAAAGCTGGGAACAGCAGAATTTGAATTCAAAGCAGGCTTTGTTGCTCTGTCTGTGCCCAGAGCCTGAAGGCCAATAGTTCCCAGATCACCCCGACATTCTGGCCTCTTTTATTTATTACTTCTGTTTATATTTGCCCTATGGAGGTCATTTTTCAGCTGATGTAAAGCCTGGGCTATCATGGGTTGCCCACAGTTGGCATGGTGGGTTGCCCTCCTCCTCTGGTCCATGTGATGGAGCAGTGTCCCTGGACCAGAGCCTGCTCCCATGTCAGGTGGGTAAATCCCAGTCTCTGTAACCCACACTAACCCAGCACTGCAAACCAGGAGCGAAGAGGAAGGGACAGGAGGGAGAGGCATCCTGTTAATTAGCTAAGTCCAGCCTCGTGCCCAGCCATGAGCTGGCAGAAAACACCATGTGAGCTCGGGGACCAGCACACACACCACACACAAATCTGAACCAAAAGCTTTCCCTGGCTTTGTGGTTTCTGCCTGTTCAGCTATGCAGCTACTGCACATTATAATTATTGCACACTAAGATAAATCTCTCCTTCTACTCTTTGTTATACACAGATAAGTAGTTAAAACCCATTCATACGCAGCACCATATGCCCAAGACATACTACAATTTATTTTTGCTAATCTGCTCTCTACTTTAATCCAGTGATTTCCTATAATTAATGAAGCTCAGTAGGAGAAATGTCTTTTTCTGGGTACTGAAACAGTTCAATAAAAAAAGACTTTAGACACTAAAATCATCGTATGAAAACCTGTTACACAAGCTTAGGCAGGATAAACATTTACTGTTTCCTTTTTTTTTTTTTTTTTTTTTTTTTTTTTTTTTTTTTTTTTTTTTTTTTTTTTTTTTTTTTTTTTTAATGTGGTATTATTCTGGAAGCAGATATGTAACTGAAAGCAATCACCAGTCAGCAGCATCACTCCCGGGCACACAAGAGGGGTCATTCTGGTTGAAGAGAGATGGGGCATAGCCCTGGTCCTCACATTCACTTCTTTTCCATGTGACTTCAAGCAAGAACAACTTGAGTGAAAGGAGGTTGTCTGGATACTGCATTTAATTTGTGAGCCCTTAGAGTCAGGGGTGAGGCTATCAATTTCTGTAGAGGCCTCAATGCCCAGTTGCAGCAAATAGCTACTCATCATGCTAGAAATGAAAAACCTTGTGCCAAATGTTAAAAACCTCTTGCTCTTATCTGTAGGCAAAAGGTTACACTTAGACACATCCAGCTTGAGAAGCTAGAGGATATAAACACATGGACTATGGTGGGCAAGAAAAAGTAATAAAGACATTGCTGTGTAGTACGGGGCAATACTTGGAAAACAAGGAGAAGGGAATTAAAATTAAGGTAGATGACATGGATGACAGGCTAGGTAGCAATCTGGCTTTGGAAACTGTAAGCTCCACTCCTCACTGGAACAATGAATTTCACAGATCCAGACTAACAGGTTTGTAACATATTGCCCTAAATGAGGCCTCATTTGAAGCATTTTCACACTGTGCCGTTTGGATTTGCATAAGAACAACTTTGTAATCAGTGCTCAGGTGGGAGCTTTGTATTTCCATAAGGCAGAGACTCAACCTTAGGCTGAGTCTGTCCTCGGTGTAAGAAAAAGACAGGAACATTTACCTTTGGGGACTGCCAGTGGATTACAGGGAGAAATATCCCATACCTGTATCAGTGGAGGACTTGAACACAAGCATGGCAACGAGGCATTGCCTGCCCATAACCCCCTAAGCCCTACATGAAAACAAGGCAATATCTCCATTTCAGCACTATGGGACCAGGCTGCACATGTGTATGAAACACCAACCAACACAGCTGCTGTTTTAGCTGGACTAAGGGCAGAGGCTGCTGCTGCTAAAAGTAGGGGAATGTGCTACAAGCTTAAATTATTTAAAATGCAAAAATGGTCCAATAAATGAGCATTTCTCTTTGATGTACAGGAGATTGGCATCAGAAGCTGATATGAATTAATGCTAGAAGGAATATTTCTATACTATTTTCTATACTCAAGAGACCAGCCAGGGTTGGCTGTCTACCAAAAAGTCTTTCAATGATGGTTAAACAAGACTTTATTAGTCCTTTGGTTAACAGAGTCCCTTGAGAAAGTGGTTACTTGTGCAGACACTTCCTACCTCTACAGTTTCACTGCAATTTTTTGATGGACCTCCTTGCTACCAAGGAGAGTTAATGTATGAAGGCCCAGTGTTTTAAAAGTTAAACTTCCCAAAAGCTTATTGGGTGTAGGGATTACAGTATTAACAGTGGGAAGAGACACTATTACTTTCACTTTCCCTAGGAACCTAGCAGGGATGGGAAGAGGTAATTTGCATTTTCTGGTGAATTCCATTTTTACCAGGTCAAAGAAGAGTTCTGCAAACTGAGCAGTGAAACTCACATGGGGGACAGCAAGCAGGAGTCAATGCACTAGAATTGGAGGTTGAGCAAAAAAAAAAAAAAATTGAGTTAAGCGCAATTATACATGTAAACATATGATAGACTCCAAATTTCATACTGAAGCAAGTGCTGAGTAGGATGAGAATAGAGTAATTTTGAGTCAAGTGCAATTGTACATGTAAACATATGATAGACTCCAAATTTTCATACTGAAGCAAGTGCTGAGTAGGATGAGAATAGAGCTGCAAACAGGCATTTGCAGAGAAGGGTTTGGAAAATGAGAGAACCAAGAGTCCCTAAGAGCTGCCATCCTGTCACTTTATTCACTGCTGCTGAGAGGAGCAAGTAATTTGGGTGGCAGTCTGACATCTGCAGGCAAGCGTGGGCTTGCTATCATATGTGCATCAAACTGAACCTGTAAAATCCAGTAGCCAGTCACTGAAGTGACAATGTCTGCAACTCGGAAACAGAGAGGCTGGATTGGAAAGTCCAGCCCTGAAGGCAGTTTTTATTACTGTGATGTGTGAAGAATTATACACCAGCATCACTGGCACTTATGAGCTGTATAAATAATGTTCTGTGCCAACGATGGCTTGCTACTGATTGCTTTGAAATGGATAATCACAATTTTCATTTGCATTCATTAGAAGATACTGCCTGTGAGGGACCTGACAGTATTTTAAAAAATTATGCACAATTGACCGAATCCACTTGCTCCAAATCCAGCAGTAGGTGAAGCAAACCACTCGCAGACTACCAGTAACTGCAAGACTAACAGCTTCAGAGCTGCACATTGGCATTTCATAACAAGAGCTAAATTATTGCTAGCTGTTGGGGCCTCTCATGTCCAAGAATGAACGAACCATCCAGAGAGACACAATCTCTGCCCCACAGAATGTGACTCATCAAGAGATCCTGCCAATGGACTGACTTTTTCATAGCACTTACTCTCCAAGAAACACCAGTGGTTTAAATGAAGGTAATTCTGCTTGGCATCTACGAGAATCAGAAGAAAACCAGATCTTCTTGTTAACAGATGGTCAGAGGGTGGATTTATCCCCAAAAGATGTAAACCAGCGTTCATTAACTGCACCACTAATCAGGAACATTTCACTGTGAGCGTTTTCCAGGCACTGTGCAGGACTGCATAAGAAGATTCTGTCATGAGATGAAAAAGGATGAGGATCTCCATGGTCCTTCTCCATCAAACCCCATCCACACAAATGAAGCTCTGCTGGCGACTGCATGCTGTTTCCCTCTTAACTTTTTGCAGCTTTGGACTTGCCAGGCCCTGACACTGAGGACGTGCATGATTCTCCTTCATCTCATTGTTTTAGAGCTCTCCCCGTTTGTCCAGTCTTGCAGATAAAGGAAAAAACCCTTTGTGCAGAGGTTTGCCGCTCTTAAATCAGTGATGAATAAACTCTTCTAAGAAGAAAAAAAGTGTCCTGGACAATGACCAGAACTTGTTTCTTTAGAAGGGGCAGATTTCAGCTATCACACTGCACTGTACTTTACTGTTGCCTGCCCACTTGGGAAAAGGAAGCATTTCCCATTTCTGTAGCAATATCCTTTATTTAAGGTAGGACAGGGTGACTTTCCATTCTTTCTTAGGCCTGAAGTGTCTCTAAGTCCCAAGTATATGACTGAAGATTTGCTTTGCTGCCATCCCATTCTTCTCTATTTCAACAGCTGCACAGTGAAAGTACAGCTTT